GTTTCTGTAAAACCAGTTGCCTAGAGCAGGGCCTCTTGGCTGTTTGTGTAAACATGAGTGGCTTGGGACCCTGTTCCTCCAGGTTCTACTATGGGAGTCCAGGTGGGATTCTCCCACTTTAATGAATCCCCAAGGTAGTGCTGGCCCTACTGGTCCTGACCACACCTGCCAAGTACCCAGAGCCCCCTGGACTGGCAGGCACTGCATGTGCTTTCTGGCTACCCCCGGAGCACTGGAAAACCATGATCTTAGTTGAGATTTTGTCCTTAGTATATCATCTGAAACCTGGAAGATGGTGGTTATGAACGCCTCTCAGTGATGTGGCAATAAACCTCCCTGTCCTTGGTCATTCAGGGGAGTTTCCCTTGAGGGGTCACATGCTCCAGGCTTCAGCCTTCAGGTGCTTCTCAGAGCCCTGAACATGACTGGGTGTGTGGGGGCACCCAGTGGGTGAGCCTACACCAGTGCCCGGAGTCCAGCAAACCATGAGCATTCACTGTCTGCATGTTTCTTATTGCTGCACTCTTTTCTTCTCTGTTCCTTTTCCCCAGCAGAAAACAGTCAACTTGTTCACATGGGGATAAGGAGATAGTTGGGAAACTTAAGACTGCATTTTCTCCTTGCCTTCCAGCATTGTTTCCAATGCCACGAGCTTCCCCACAAGCCAGACTAAGCATTTTCTCCTGGGACCCCCGCTGTGTTCAGGGTCTGAGCCGCCAAACGAGTTTCTCCAACCAGATGGTGACATCGTGGAAAAGATACAGTCACCCCCAGCCCCATACCCCAGCCCAGCAGTGGCCAGGCTCTGGCTGCCTTCAGAGACACTACAGCTCCCATGTACACTCAGATGCCAACTCCAAGTGCCTTAGCTCAGCATCCCAAGCCCCTGCCACCTGCTCTGGACCACTGCCAACTTCGGACCAACTCACTCACGTGGACTCTGAAGGACGGGCCGCCATGGTTGATGTGGGCAGGAAGCCAGAAACAGAGCGGGTGGCCGTGGCCTCGGCTCTTGTCCTCCTGGGCCCTGTGGCCTTTGAGCTTGTCCGTCAAAACCAGCTAAAGAAGGGAGATGCCCTCCTGGTAGCCCAGCTGGCTGGAATCCAGGCAGCCAAGCTGACCAGCCAGCTGATCCCTCTGTGTCACCAGGTGGCCCTGAGCCACGTGCAAGTGCAGCTGGAGCTGAAGAGCACAAGCCACGCCGTGGCCATCCAGGCAACCTGCAGGGCTCGGGGCCCCACCGGGGTAGAGATGGAGGCACTGACCTCAGCTTCTGTGGCTGCCCTTGCCCTGTACGACATGTGCAAGGCTGTGAGCAGGGACATCGTGGTGAGTGAGGTGAAGCTCATCAGCAAGACGGGCGGCCAGCGAGGCGACTTCCACCGAGCTTAGAGCTCCCACAGCATCTCAGGCAGCAGCCCAGCCAGGAACAGAAATGGGAAGCACCCAAGAGCCAAGGAAAGATGTCAAGTTCTTGAGTCCCAGGTCACCGTTTGCTTTCACCAGGAGGAACCTGAGATCAGCCCTGTCCCTTGCCACTAGATGACTTAGAGTAACGTGTGGGGGCTCCTGCACAGAGGATCCCGGCAGGCAACGCCAGGGAGAGGACTGCTGGGACTCGCGCTGCAGAAGGGAAATGCCACCTTGCTGCCAGTGGCCACCAAGCCCACAACGTCTGCTTCACATTTTGGGTTTTCTCAAGTACTTCCCTGGGAGAGAATTAAGGGCTCATTAAACATGAAACCCACTGTGAGGAGGAAAGCACAGGCTGGCTTGCAAAGTGTCACTGCTTTTCTCCAGCAGCTGCACCTGTTCATACCACACTGTCTTTGTCCGCCCTGCACTCCTGCCACCAGGATGTACACATGAGGGCCACAGTCCCTAAGGCACCCCCGGGCTGGCCTCAGCTCACGCCTGGCCCTGCTCACTGCCATTTTACCCGCACCAGGACACTTCAGGGAAAGAAATGGAGTCGAAGATGCCTTCACATTCACAGTGCAAAAAATAAAGCCACGCTGCTACCTTTGGAGACATGAGAACAAGGATTGTATGTGTGTACACTGAGTGGGTAAGGAGAAGAGGGGAGTAGGGTCCTGAGCTGCCTTAGGTCCATTCTGGAGAGAACAGGTCAGAGACCCTGCAAGGGCCCAAGGGCTACCTCCTGTGCATGAGTGTACCCCCAGTCCAGGGTGAGGCGGGCAGGCAGATCCATATGCTCACAAGGGGACGCTGCCCAGGAGGGAGGGGTGTCACCTGCTTGCTGCTCATATCCCCAGCTGTTAGTACAGTCAGCATCCTCCAACACAGGCCTGGTCCACAGGACGCCACAATGGGGCTGGGCCTCTTCGGGTCATGTCTTCCCATCCACCTCACACTGAGGTGTGCTGCTGGCAAAGGTTACGTTGGCTCTCTGGAAAACACCTCTGTTTTCCCATCCTGACCATCGGCACTCCTCCAGGTCTTGGGGCTTGGTGAGATTCCTAGAACTGTAAGCCAGCAGTTCTCACAGCTAAGCTGGCTCCAGTGCCCCGCTGGACATGCCCACCACACCCTCCAACCCGTCCCCGGAAGAAGCATGCTTCCAGGCAGGTAGGCACACTGGGGATTGGTATGGATTTAATATATATATTTTTAGTATGACAATATATTCTTATTAAAAAGGTACAGGTAAGGACATGGCAGATTTTGTACATGAGCCTCATTGGGTGTCTGAGGCAGCTGGTGAGAGCAGCTTTGGCATGGAGGGCAGGGGAGACAGGCCAGCTGGTGGACATGGAATGGACGTGGGGAGAGCCCAGACCAGACCCTACCCCTCTACCTGCAGGTTTCCTCCTGTCCCGGGGGAGCAGCAGGAGCTGCTGCTAGAAGGAAACAGCTTGCACAAACTTGACCGAGTTTTGCATTGAACACAGACAGCTGGGGACTATAAGACCAAGGAACATGCTAGTAAGAGTTAACATTTAACCTGTCAAGGACCAGCTCAGCCCCCTCTCATGGACACCAGCCCCCTGCTTGCTGAGTTGACCATGACGATCACTGGCTTAAGGCACTGTTGGAGATCTGGCCATTGCAGCATCTAATACCAGAGCCGTGGGCCAACTCTGAACTTTAATAAATAGAAGTAGAAATCTTGGGGGGATGAGGAAGATGGGGGCTGTGGGGACTGTATGTGTCCCTCTGTAAACAGTGAAACCAAACTCATTTTTTCTGAGGATCGAACAGGTCATGAACTACTGCCATAGTCTTTGTCTTGCCTGGTGCATCGTATCTAGCGCCAACCCCTGGACATGCTGCTCGCCAACCCTGCCTGTTGTGGGTGAGGCCGATGTCTGCCTGGCTAGCTGCTGGGGAGAGAACTTCCCTGCCTCCTGCAGAGATGGCCCTTGGTTAAGCAGCCGGTGACCCTGAAGCTCCCCCCAGTCACTCCCCACAGAAGCCTTCACCTCATCCTCACCTGGTTTCCAGGACAGCCCCATTGCACATGCTCGGACCCCTGCCACCAGAGCACAAGCACCGCTCCCTCGAACCAACACACGTTCTGGGCTCGCCAACTGAGTCTGTTCCTCTGCAGTTACTATGATCCCAGCCCCTCCCTCCACCCCCAACCAGGAATCTGACAGCGAAAAGGCAGAAGACAGGAGAGTGGGCCCTGCCCACGAAGGCTGTCCCTGGACAGTGCTAAGGGGATTGGATCAGAAGATGAGAGACCCAGAAGGCAAGGAGTAGGAGCAGGTCTCCATAGGTGCATGGTGAACTGGGGTGGGAGTGAATCCAGAATAAGGTTTGATGGAGCCTCCTGTACACACCTCCTCTTAGAAGGAAATATGTGCTGGTTGTAGCTGCCGCCCCACATGTAAGGGAGGTGTGGGAAGATTCAAAGGGGGCCCTGTGTTGAACTCAATGCAGGAACTAGGGACTTTGCCCTCCCCTGGCCTCTTCAGGCAGTGCAGCTGGCTGTCCAACCTCCATCACATCTCTGCCTGGCTATCTGCCCTGCCGCTAGACTGAACGCCTCCAGGAGTGGCCACCCTGGGACCCAGCGTGCACACACAGGGCACACCTCAGCCAAGCACATGTCCCGAGGGGTCCCCTGCGGACTAGAATAAGTGGAAAGGCACTGCAGTTCCTGTGCAGACACAGGTGTTAGTGGAAGAGCAAGGATCTAAGTGACAGACAGGGGAGCTCTGGGGCACAGGTGGCCCTGCAATTGCTGCCCTGGATGCTGGGCCAACAGGACTTCCTGAACGCCATGGCAACACCTGAGGTCTGGTCAGCTGGCTTTATAACAATGATCAGGTGGCACTGGCAGGGCTAGGGGCACACAGATCTGTCACAGGAGCCTGATGCATGAGGTACAGATCTGATAAAGAACAGAGTCCTTGGATAACTGTACCACCACCACTACCAATCTGGGCCCATCAAGGACCTGGCAGTACACCAAGGTCACAGGAACCCTCTGGTGAGTTTTCTGATTGTGGGTTAGTAAATGGGATGCCAGGGGGAGGCAGAGGGACTTAGAAACGTGAGAGAGAGAGAAGCCAGCAAACCTGTGACATGGAAGTTGCTCTGTCCTGAGGGCTTTGGTCCCTGTGTAACACTGCGAGCATCTGTTTTCCTGGCACCCACCAGAACTGATAACACATGGTGGGTGCCTCTCTCCAACCAAAGAGTGGACACCCACAGACCTGCTCCATCATGCCTCCTCTTGGAGGAATTGGAGTCTCGTACCCCACCACTGCTCCACCACACACACCGCAAAGGGAAGCAGGGCGGGGCTTGTGAGGTCTGCAATGCCAACACGTCATGGTCCCATGGTAGGGAATGGGATCCAGAAAGAATGATGTGCAGGGGAAATGGGAGGGGCACCTTGAGTGAGTGTAGGGATACGCCTGGTCCAGCCACACACAGCCCACAACCCAGGGCCCAGCCCAGGGCTCTGAGCTCACCAGCATCCAGCCGTGATCTCCCAGTCTCCTGTGCAGCCTGTCCACTGCCGCGGGTCAATGCTTTAGCCTATTTATAGCCCGCTCACGGGTCACCTCCAGGGCCTGGCCACTCGACCGCTTGCGGCTGCGCTTGAGCTTGCACAAGTCCTTGTCGAAGACTTCCCCGGAGCGCAGGGCTGACACCAGGTCGTCAAACTCGCCACCCTCCTCCAGCGCACTGCCTGCCAGCACCTTCCGCTGCCGTTGCCACCGCTCCCGCTCTCTCTGCTCCTTCAACTGCAAGGTGGAGGGTGGCAAGCTGAGAGCCTCTCAGGGGCAACGGGCCAGGACAGGGGCAAGGCACCCATAGCCCTCTACATCACCGATGCCCCTGCTTCCCCACTGTCCACTCCTGGCTTGGCTCAGGTCACTGGCTGTGCCTCTTTCCTAGGCTGGCATGGGTTCCTCTGCTGTGCCTCATTTTCTTGCCTACCCTGCCCACAGCCTGCATGCCACAGCCCCAGACTTCCCTCCAGCCCAGCCCTCTCACCATGGCTTCCATGCGTGCCCGGCGTTCCTCTTCCTCCTTCTTCCTCCTCATGGTCTCCAGGTCCTGCCGGGCCTCTGAGAAGGCCTGCAGGAAGGTGTCGAAGATGCCAAAGAATTCATCTGGCTGCATCTTGCTCTCCTGTTCTCCAAAGTGCATGAGGGCCTGGGCGAACTGCGGAGGAAGATAATGAGGTTGGCGTGGGTCATCTCCCCCTACAAAGTGAGCTGACCTGTAGTGGAGGCCCCTCTTGTTCCTACAGCAGGGGACTGGGAACATGACGACGGGGCTTTTGGAAATCTGAAAAAGGACCTATGAGATCATCTAGTGACTGAGTTAGTTATATGAGTTTCCTGGGCCTCCACTTTCTCCCCTGAGAAGTAGGAATGGTGATAGAATTACTTTGTAGTGTTCTAGGGAGTGCTGTGTGTTCCCAGAGGTGGAGGACTAGCTCCCCTTTGCTGGGCCAGGCATGATTGCAATGGCCCTGGGAGCCTCCATCTCTAACTCAACCCATTCAGTTTCATCTAGGTCCCCACCACTCCATGTGTGCTCCTGGCAACTTGCTAGAAGTGCTACTTGCAGTGAGGTTGGGTTTAAGTGGGGTAAGCATCTAGCAGAGGCCTGACCCCCTCCCCTTACCTTGTCCCGGGCCTCATTTAGCTGCTCCTCTAGCTCGGAGAAGCTGAAGCTGGACACTGTGATGAAGTCGCTCATGATGGGGACAAACCTGTCGCTGGGCTCTCGCACCTGGCGCTTCTGGTAGTCCAGCTCCTACGGAGCGAGGAAGTGAATGAACAAGGTGTTCAGGGCTGCCCGTTTATTCCATCCATGGTGCCAAGCTTGTCTGCAGATGAGTCAGCACCCTGAGTTTTACAATTCCAAGGGTGACAAAGACTGTGGGGCCATCACTGACCACCACCTGCCACTGTCCCTCCCTCTCCCATCATTACCATTTTTTTTTTCTACTACAGCCTTGTGACCCAAGGTGGAGTCTGGGACCAGTGACATTGGCAGGAACATTTTCATCAATAGACTACCAGACTACCACATGCTCTGCACTGCGTGTGAATTGGCCTCGGTGCTTCACACACAGGACAGAGACCCCTGTGCAGGCATGTGTGGCTAGCTTGTGGACCATAATGTAAGGACCCTTCCCAGGACTACAAAATGAGACATTAAATCCTGGCTTCCTACCCTTTTCCTGACTCCATCTAACTCTGAGTTCTTTCTCTCCTGTTCCCTCCACCTCCCCCAAGGCATGGTGAAGATGGGGAGGGCCTTTAGTTTCCAGCTGTGAAGCACAATGGATCAAGGGCATCCCAGTACTGAGCCAGAGTTAGGATGATCTGAGAGAACAGTGCAGGGAGGGTGGGAACCAGAAGTCTTACATGTCTCACGCCCTTCCCACCTCCCCAACTTCCTTGTGAAAATTCTCATGTTGAGTTCCTAAGGCCCAAGACCAGGGTAGAAAGAAGCAATTAGGTCACAGGGGCAAGGCTTTCAGGTATGGAATAGATGCCCATGCAAGAGAGGCCCCAGTGGAACTTGTTCATTGTCTCTTTTGCATGAGGACCCAATGAGAAGGCATATCTATGAGAACACAGGTCTCTACCAGACATCACATCCACCAGCAACTTGAACTTGGCCTTGCCTCTCTCCAGGACTATGAAATCACCTTCCCCTGCCCACAAGCCTTCCAGAGTTTAGCGTGTTCTTTTATGGCAGCCTGAGTGCACCAAGACACAGAGAGCCTCTACCAGTTCAGGGAAATGGGGAGGAGTGAGCAGGAAGGACCTGCTGGGGCCAGTGCTGCCCACTGCCTGCCTTGAGCCTGCTTGCAAGGGCTGCAATCCACCAGGATCCAACCCAACCGCACAACTCTGGTTTATTGCACAGCCAAGTGTAGAGCGTGTTAGACACCCAGGTAATCCAGTCACCCTTTCCTGAGGGCTGTGCTCACTGTGCCCAGTGTCCTCTCACCCCAGGTGGGAGCTCGGGTCACAGAAACACACCAGGTAGGTGTCTGGGGTCCACTGTCAGGTCTGACAACACGGATGGCAGCCAGCACTGTGTCCCCACAGCCCAAGCAGGTACTCACCACCTCCACTGCTCGCAGGCCCCTCTTCAGGTTGCCCACCTCCTTCTCCAACTCTGCCAAGCTGCAGGGGAGATGGGGGTGGGGTAGAGAAACAACTATGCTTGAGGAACCCAGACGGGTGCAGGGAACAGTTCAGAATCAGCGACCTCCCTCCAGGACTCTGGCTGTGCCTCTGTAACCACCGGGGGTGGGTGGGAGCGGGCAAAGCTAGAGTGCTGCAGACACTCAGACCACAAAGTTCCCACTGTTCATCAGAAGCTTTCCAGCACGTGGCCTCTGGACTAATGTGGACTGTCACACCCCACAGATCATATGTATAGCTGGGGTCCCATCAGATTATAATGGACCTGAAAAATCCCTGTGAAGAGGCCATCCTAACATTGTCACACAATGCATCCCTCGTGTGTGTGTGTGAGAGAGAGAGAGAGAGAGAGAAAGAGAGACAGAGAAAGGAAGAGAAATAATGTGTTGCAGAAGATCCTGGCATAACTGACTGGCTGTGCCACCACTTGTGTAAAAGCATGGCCCATGACACACAGTATAGTAGACAGTAATTGATAACAAGCCATTGTCTTCTGGCTTGTGTACTTACTATACTACTTTGATTATTTCTACTGAAAACTATATGGAAGTTGACTGTGACACAGCATACTTTGGCTCCTAGCGACAGGATAGTCCTACAACCACAAAATTGCCTATAGATAACTTAGAATGTATACCACAGTCATAAGGTGTGACTGTAGCCATTTCTATTAACAACAGGTAATGCATATGAGTTCTTAACCATATACTGCACCTCATGTGCAGTAGGCATTAAATACCCATTAGTAGCATAGACACCATTACTTTTCTGGTTCTACTGCAGATGGTTGCTGTCTACCTTGGTATTCAGGTCTGGTTAGGAAGATGTTGCTCCGTAATTCTTTGGAGCAGCCAGCACAGCACATGGCCCTGGCTCTTCCAACCACCTGGGCATCTTTTCCTATGGATAAGCCCCCTCTGCCTGTACCGATGCCCAGCATCCACAACCCCCAGCCAGTGATGGACAGGAGATGTCATACAACCATCACAGATCTTTGACCCTGATGTAGACCAACCAAAGCCAGCTCTGTGACTAAATCCTTTGGGGACCCAAGCTCTACTTTCCACAGGGAGTAACTAGTTAGTAATATACCTATTATGTATATAATAATAAATGTATATAGTAATATAAGGCATACTTTCCTTCCCTGGCTCACTTCCTCACTCCTCTGTTAGCACTTTCTGGAAGAAGTATTTAAGAGTGAAGAAGCTCTGGTTGGTCCTTCCAAAAGCAGACCCTGAGATCCTGGTCACTCCTAGTCTTCCCAGCCTAGGGCTTACAGGAGGACATTCAGCTGAGAGTGTGTGCAGACACAGGCAGAAGGCAGCCCAGGAGGGAACCTGCCCCTTACTTGACTTTGGCGGCTTCCGAAAGATGCTGCAGCTCGGAAGGCATGTTCAGGATGTCTGGGAAGTGCTTCTCCAGGATCATGATCAGGTAATGCAGCAGAGAGATATTCCTGCACAGGACAATGGTGTCAGTGGCAAAGGACCGAGGCAATGAGGCTGTGTGCTCAGAAACAGAAGTGGGGATGAGGAAGGATGGGGCTGGGGGTGAAGGGGTCTCAGGAAACAGATGGGTCCTCACCTGTCGACACTGGACTTGGTGTCAGCAATCTTGTTGAGGCTGGCCACCCGGAAGCCATAGGCACCCCCACGCTGCCCTTTGTTCATGAAGTTGCCGATGGCCAGGACAACTTCTAACATCTGCTTTAGACGCTTGCTGTGGGTCAGCTCCCGGGAAGCCAGCAGGATGGCTGGGAGGGGAGAGCGGGGACAGTTCAGAGCCCTGTACAAACTGGGCCAGGACGGCTGGACCCCTAGCACCCCAGCAAGATGTTGGCAGAAAGGGGCTGCCAACTATTCCCCCTTCTCAGCATTTCCAGCCATACCACCCTCCCAGAGGGGAAGCAGACACAAACCCAAAGGCCATTGACCAAAAAACCTGCTCTCCAGAATACGCTGGCTTTTGCTGAGAAAAGCTGTGTGAAGACCTCTCTTCTGGTATGTAAGGGCTATTGATCTGTTTCTTATATGAAAAATGCACATAAATCAAGCCAGCCTACTAGTTATAGACTACGATTATCTAAAATGGTGAGAAGATGATTAAATCCCCCTATGATCTTTGGCTTATGTTCAATCGAACATTCCTTCCTTGGGAAGACAAAAAGGAAAATGACTTGACTAAATGTTGGCAAAATACTAGCAGACTCCAGGAAAAGCAGCTGTGAAAATCAGACATTCAATAAAGCTTCGCAGAAGTTCCTAAGATGTTTGACATGCGTGTTCTATCATCTATAAAACAGCATTACCGTTAGTGTCTGCAGTGTTCCCAGTTTTGCTTTTTCTTTTCAAATTGCATGTATTTGAGAGAGATAGAGCACCCTCATGCATTCATCCACTCCAATGCCTGTAGTGGTCCCTGCCAGGCTCCACGCTTGGAGCTTGAGGCTCAGTCCAGGTGGCTGATGTGAGTGGCAGAGATGCGAGCCCTTGAATTGCCTTCTAGGAAGCACATGAACAGGAAGCTAGAAGAAGAACCTGGAGCCCAAAACTCTGATGTGATATGGAGACATCTTAACTGCTAGGCTGAACATATGCCCCGCTCCAGTTTTCATAAATCATGAGTAAAATGGAACACTGAAAGTTAACAACTTAATGCTACATAGAATACTAATGTTGAACAGCAGACATATAATTGTTGTTCTTAGATTATGTCATTTATACAAAGTACAAAACAGACAAATCTACAAGACAGCTATTATCAGAGAGGAGAAAGGGGGCGATAATTAAAGTGGGGTAATGATTGATAGGGGAGGGGATGGTGCGTTGAAAACATCCTTTCTTGACCTGGGTGTCTGTTATGCAGGTGGATTCACTTTATAATGATTCATCAAGGCTTATGTACTTTTTTCTATGCATGTCATATTTCAATAAAGTTTTGCAAATAAAACACCCTACTTATGAAAATCTCAATACATATTGGTTGGGATAGCTTTTCTAAAGTTGATTTGACATTTGAAAATTTTGCAAAGGAATCCTGAAAGTGCTAAAATGTTGGCAAAACAGAAAGCGGTAAGAGTTCAAAGGAAATCAGTGTAAACTTCTATATGTAATCCTGACATTTTAGACACCTTCACAATCCAATCATGAATGTATTCATAGGATTATATTTGTACCCATATTCATTTTGACTACATTTTGTGCATGTATTTAAATAAGAATTGACAAATTTGCTCTATTCAGCCATGAATATAGACATACAAGAATATACCCAAGAAGAATATGTTCATAACTATATTCATAGGTAAATAATCAAATTCTGCAGCTCAACTCAGAGCCCCATGCTTGCTGGATGTTGGGAGGGTAGGTGCTCGTAGCTCATCTCCCTGCCAGGGTAGGTTAACCCTTAGCTCTTTCAGGATTGCTTCTTGGGAGGACTGGCAGAAGGAACATGAATTCCAACTCCTCAACCATCTTTTTGCCTCCACTCCAGTCAACTCCTCAACCTTGGGTACTGCTTCCCTATCCAGCTCATGGAGTGTAGACCATCCAGCTACAGCAGGGCAATGCTTACAGATCTGAACCATAGAACAGCGCCCCCCACCTTCCTCCCAGCAGGTTTGCTATTCCAAACACGTGTTGTTCTCTGCACTTGATGTTAAAGGTGCACTCTTGCCTGAGCATCCCCTGACCAATATAAGGGAGAGCTCAGGAATAAGCTTCTGCAAGCAGACAACTGCCTAAGATGAAATCTCCCTGCAAACAGCAATTGCCCATGACTGCTCTTCTGACTTTAGATACACACAGAGTTGAGCACATCTGTCTCAGGCTGAACCCCTTATCTGCGCCTCATGCCCCAATGGCAGTTTACAGCAGGTTGGAAAGAAGTCATGAGGATTATAAGGATTCCTTCATCACCTGGGCAAGGAGACAATACCCATCCTTCTTCCTCATACAGGTTGCTTGTGACCACAGTCTGCATACACCTTGCTGTGCAGGTGTGTGTGTGTTACACATACATTCATGTGAAGGGAGACAGAGTCCACACCACACACACTATAGAAAATGTCTCCCTTGAGTTCTGCAAACTCCACGCTGCGCACAGAACCATCTACAAAGCAGCTCCTTGGACTGCAGGAGGACCCTTCTCAGGACAGGACAGCTCAGGGGAGTCAGGCTTTTCCAGCAGGGGGCGCTATGCTCTGTTCGGCTCCTGGGATCACCCTTAGCACTGGGTGTGACAGGCGCCGTGGCTTTCCTCTGCTGATCCAATGGAGAAGAGGGAAGGAGGCATAGTGGTGAGCCTGACTGCTTTTTCCTGGGACTTCCCTTCTCAAGTGCCAAGTTCACCCTCCATCCTGACCCCTGCCCTTCCTCATAGCTTCCTGCCGCTCTCCACGAGTAGGCTCCTACCCAGGGAAGGAATGGATTTTTGAAGAACAGCGACTGTGTTCTGACACTGACTCTCACTCATCAGTAATGTGACACAACAATTGGCTTAGCCCCATGTGAGAGATGAGAGCCCAGAAACACACAGAGGTGCACGGTGGCACTCACTCATGGGATTTGCTCTCAGACCCAAATGTGACCACACACACCTCTGGTATGTGGCTGCCACTGAATCCCAAACTTCCCCCTTGGAAAGAACCCATGTTGAAGGGGTTTTGCCCTAACTCACAAAATCAATGCCTCTGGGGATCAGCAAGGCAAACGTCTACTTCCTGAACAGCTCGCACTTCGAATGACATGCCCAGAGGTCTTCTGCTAACCAAGCACCTCTCCACGAGTGGATTCGATGAGCTCAGCAGCTCAAGGCACACTGTTCCAGGTCCTGGCTGCTACTGCCTTCTCAACACTTTGGTCTCAGGATGGAACAAGTGCCAAAAGAAGCTCTACCCTGCAGAGTGCACGCTGAGGCATAAGGTGCAGTGACGAGTTGTTGGTCCCAAGGACAGATGCTTATAGTTTCACTTTTATATTTTGTCCTTGACATTGGAGAGTAAGGCAGGCATTTCCCCTGCTCCTCTGACCGTGGACTCTCTCCACCCTGGTTCTCCCAGATACTGTAGCACTGCAGACCTCCCCCACCCTCAGCCCTACCTTCCACTTTGGGCTTGGCCTCAGCCAGTCGCTCCTGGAACTTCTTCTTGAAGAAGAGAGCCTGAAGACGCTGCTGGTAGTGGTCAATCCTGTGGACAGGTTGAATGGTGTCATGCTGGGGCAGCCCCTGCCAGCCCCTTCTGCTTGGCAGCACCCTGCTTGGCCCACCTGCTCATTTCATAGAGGAAGCGGTCGGCGCGGGCCATCCGCTCAATCTCGTGCTTGTGCTCCTCCAGCAGGTCAACATCACTCTTCTCCGGGATGAACTTGAGGAGCTTCAAAGACGAAGGGCAAGTCAGACAAGCTGGAGGCAGGGGGCTGAGGAAGTCTAACACCTGGAGCTGGAGGTGGGGGCTGGGACGGGGTGGGATGGGGTAGCACAGGAGAAGCCCAGATGCCAGATCTACTCAAGATGAGGAGGGGGGCTTCAGAGAGGGCCCCTCGCGTAGACAGTCTGGTGTTTCCTTTTGTCTGCCCAAAGGAAGTGGCAGGCTACCAGCTATTATTCATCGTTTAGAACTGAAATGTATCTTACACAGGGTACACTCTTTTGGTGATTTTTCTCTTTTGAGGCACATTTTCACCAGGTATCATTTATATAAAACACAAAACATTCATTGTCAATGAGCGAGTTCAATGCCTTTTGGCAAAATTTTCTGCCACACGCAGCCACCTCCATAAACCACCCCCAGCTCCTAATGTATCCTCCCCAGCAAAGCCTGCCGCCTTAGGTCTGCCTGCCTGTGAGCTTCATGGGGGTGAACTAGTGCTGCGTGTCCCCTTTTGTGACTGGCTTCTTTTACTCGACAGGGTTGTCTGTGCAGTGAGTCCTGAGTATCTGTGTTACTGACTGCTGAGTAGTGGTCTGTGATGTCACTACGTCCCAGTCTCCAGGATCGCCTTCCCATTGGCAGGTGGTTGAGTTGCTCACAACTTGGGAGTTTCATAAATACTGTTGCTATAAATATTCTCATGTGTGCCTTATGATCGATATTTGTACTTGACTTGCTATAGAGTGGGATGATGGGGCCATAGAGTAGGCGTGTGTTTACGCTTTGGTATGCACAGCCAAATAGTTTTCCAAAAGGACTGTGCTAAAGGAGGATTCTTGTTGCTTCCTATCCTGGCCCGCACATGGTGTTGTCAGTCTTTTTAATTTTAGTTCTTCTCTTGGGTGTGTGGCGCCACCTACTCAGGGTGGTGGCCTGGGTTTCTCTGATGGAACTTGGTTGACACTGAACATTTTTTCACCTGCTTATTGGTATCTGCGGGTGGCCTTTCACCAGTTCCCTGCTGAAATCTTCTGCTCATTTTTCAGTTTCCTTCCTCACCTTTTCTTGGATTTGTGGAGTTCTTTACGCTGAATAGGAAATCTTGGTTACGTACTAAGGAGCTTGAAAAGTCCGTGGATAATGGAATAAAAAAAATTTTTCTATGAGTTTTTATAAGATGCCTTGGATGCACACAGCAGATAGGTTTGTTATCTTGACTTTGTAATTGTGTTTTCTGATGGACTGAAGTTCCTAATTTTAACAATAACCCAACTATTGGTGCTTTGGATTGGTACTTTTGAGATTTCTCAAAGGAGATAATAGACTAGGAGGAAGAGACTGGGGGAAGATAACAGTTATTTATCCTGATTTTTCCCTGAGACCCATGGAGGATGACACCCCCTACCTCTTTCCAGGATGTTGGAAAAGATGCAGCCTTTTCTAGCCTTCTCCCAGGAAAGATTAGCCCAGAAAAGTTTCCAGAAACTTTCCCCCCAACTCCTTCAGCCTGGTTTCTCGTTGTCCTAAGAGTTTCAGCTCTCTGCAGGCTGTTGGGGAGGGACGGGTCTGCCTCTTAGGCTCTGCCTCCCTCCTCTCACTCTGAGAGTCCTACCTGCTCCAGCATGTCCTTGGCCAGGTCCTCCTGCTCGTCCATCTTCAAGATAGCCTGCCGGATCTCCTCATTGGAAAGCTTCAACCTAGAGCAAAACCCACCCAAGTGAGCAACCAGCCCTGTCCCTGAGCTCAGGTCAACCCCAAGCCTCCCTCCCCAGGAGGTGCAGCCTCCATCTCCCCCCTCTCCTAGACGTGAACCTAGAGCACGTCCGCTAGCGCTCCCTGCCATCTTGGTCGGCAGTCTACCAGGCTAAGCCTCCATGATCCTCGCGTATACTCAGGAGCATTTCCACCTGTAAGTGCACTGGCAGCTCTGGTCTCCTGCTCTCCAGGGAGCTCACGGGAGCATTGGGAGGAAAGAGTTCATCTTTGGTGAGATGGAAGAGACATGGTGGAGGCTATTCAAGCCCTCTCTTTTTCCCCCAGGTCTCAGGAATCTACTGAACTTCCAAGGTAAAATGGGACTGGGAGGGGTGCCAACCTCCTGCTTCTCTCCTTTCAAAGAAGGAGGAATGTCTCTTGGTCTCCAGCAATGTGTCAGCTCCCACCCGGCTGTCCCATCAGTCTTCCAGGCTCGGAGAGGGGTGAGCCACCCCCCATACCCCTCTCCATACCCACCCTCTACATGCACATCTACTGGGAATCCTCAAGATTCAGAACCATCCCTCCTCCAGCCGGTATGAGAGAAGCTGAGGCCTGTAGAGAGGGTAGACAGAGGGGGAAGACACCCCACAACGGCTGAAGGCAGCACCAAGAATAGTACAGGAGGTAGCGCCCTCTGACCCTGGTGTGGGTGGCAGGCCCTGCACAGAAGCTGCGCTGTTGGGGCACACACTGCCCTGTTTGTCCTGCAGTGCCGGGAAATGCTTGGACACTGACATCATGCTGCCCAGTGTGGCCCAAATGGAGCATGGCCTCCACGGGCTGAGAGCAGCTCCACGGCCAGACATGGCTGAGGCCATTCAGGGAGCTTCGTGGCTGGAGACAAGCCCCAAGCCACTGCTCAGCTTTGGCTCCCAGGAGAGGGTTCTAGAGCAGTACCATCACCCCACTCCAGAGCCACCTCTATCCCACAGGGTAGCTGCTTCCACCACTTTTTTGCCTAATCCTGGACCAGCGCCTCTGACCCGAGGGGACTGATCCATCCCACCCAGAACTGCTCCCCCATCCCAGGAAAGTCTGGTGGGGTGGGGTGGGGCGGGGTGGGCCAGCACCTACTTGGAGAGGAGGATGATGCAGTTCTGTGCCCTCCGGCCATCGATAACCGACAGCTCCTTGACCTTGCGGGAGGCCAGGTAGATGTCTTCGGTGGAGCCCAACTCTTTCTGCAACCAACAAGCCAAGGGGAAGTCTTGAGTGTTTTCCCCACTGCTCTTCCAGCCCAACCTCCAGGGTCTACCCTCCTGCAGGTGTGGAAATGCTCCTGACTTGAGGACCAGGCAGACAGACAAGAGGACAGGCAAAACAGAGAAGGGGGCGTCCTTACAGACTTCAAGGGAAAGCCCAGGACTTTGCCATGGGCCAGAATGGGTTAGGAGAGAGCAGTGAGTGGCACCCTTTCTAGAGATTATCCTGTCTGGGCAAAATAGGCAAGGGGCTGCTCCCCTAGGCGAGGGTGTGACCAATCCCCCTGGACCTAGGAAATATGCCATGCATACCATGTCACCCACAGATTCAACCCCCATTCTTGCGCTTCACTTAAGGACCCTTCCCAGGGAGAAGATGGGACATTGGCTCCAAGTTCTCCTATCAGGCTACAGCTCCTGGCCCCTGGGAACTTCAGCCCACAAGTCCAATGACAAGGGCATCCACAAATGCAAAGGTGTGGAAAGTGAGACAGAACCTCAGGTGGAGTTCTCTCCTCTGGAATTCCAGCTCGCAGGCTCCCAAAGAGTCAGAGCTCTTACTGCTCTCCCTGCTTGTCTGTGGCCCCTGGTGAGGGAGTCTGGAGAGACTGTCCAGTGGAATGTCCTTCCTCTGGGAACACCCTCCATGCAACAGGCCCCGGGGACCACCACTCACATCAGTATCGTTGTGAACTGTGCCCCGGGCAATGTGTAATGCCCAGCCTGTGTGGCCCTGCAGGAAGCCCTTGCCCTGGGCTTGGCATCTGAGAGACCTAGAAGTCTTCTCATTGATCCAGCATTCACCTCATTGCTCCAGGAGTTTACATTGTTCCCCTCTCCAACAGTTTTCCTTCCCTCTAGGGGCTACCTCCTGCCCCTTTATAGAACAGCAATAAGGCCAGGCAGACAGAAAGCCTTCTCTTTTTGGGGCCTAGTATGCAGCAGCAGCCCAGGACAGCACTGGAAAGTTGTAGTGTTCAGAACCCTGAAAGTGACTCACCTGCTGGGCAGGATTAGTTATCAGCTCCTAGGCAGGTAGCAGCCACAGCCAACAGAGAATTAAACATGCACAAGGTTAGCCAAGAGATTAAGGGACCTGGGACCAGTAGGACAGTGTGGGGACCCTCAGCATGCATGTGTCCACTTCATTCCAGTGAGACCTTCTCAGGATGTGACAGGGACCTGATACAATACCCAACAAGAGTTGCTTCTAGCGGGCATGCACTCAGAGAGAGCAGCTTGTCCCCAGGGGAAGCCTGGGACAAGCTCTCCCACCCTGCCCTTGACTCCCATCCTTTCCTCTCTTCTGCTGAGAAGAGCTGTGCTGTGCTAGAGCACAGGGTAATTTTGATACCCCCCAGACAAGTTTGTCTTTGACCTAAAGGAAATGGGACTGGAAACGCTGGGCGCTGTACTCATGGGAGGAATGGAAAGCAAGTGTCGCTGAAATTGTTCCTTTGCTCGTTGCCTTTGACCTGACCCCCAAATGTCTAAAGTGAGGGAGACAGGGGACTAGGCACACCTGTGTCCTTCCCTCCTATTGAAGAGCGAAAGCCACCAACTCAGAACTTAACTAGGGCATGAAGAAGAGACTACAGCTCCTAGGACCTCCCCTACCCACAACTCAGTGCCCAGGACCCTGAGGCGAGAAGACGTGGCCAGAAGACGTGAGCCAAGGAGTGGGTAGCATACTGAAACACAGCAGCCTGCGCGAGCCTGGCCCCAGAGCAGGGGTTGGACTAAGTGGGTTCAGAGCAGCAAGGAACACAACCAAGATCCTCCAGGTTTCATCTTTCTCATCTCTCTCAGCGGAGAAACCCCATGCTCCCTATTTTTGGACCAACCCTGCCCTGGCTCATTTTGGAGCCCTGGCAACTGGGTGGACAGGGCCAGAATCCTGGCCTGGAAGGAAACCCTTTTGACAAGGAGGAGGGGTGTGTTTTCCATGCCTGACACACCCCCTGCCCCACTCCCTCTGCTCCCAGCACCCCTGCAGGAAGCTTGGTTCTCACAAGAACCAGTGCTCAGCATGCCTGCCAGCTCCAGCAGCCCTGGCTGCGGCCTGTGGTCATGCCAACCTGGCATAGGTTTGCATCTATACATGCTTCCTGGAATTAAGGGCAGAGAATCCAATGCCCTAGACACTGGCATTCACATGAAATAGCTATTCCCTGCAAAACCTGGCATGGTTTGAGATTCCTGCTTCAGGAATGCTCTGTGTTCTATCACCAACCCAGCCCCCTTCCTTCCACTGGGGCTCCAGGACCAGTCCTACTGGTCCAGCTGTCCACACACAGAACTTGCCGAGCAGACCAAGGGACCAGCCTTGACCTCTAGTCACTTAGATATCAGAGTGGCATCTCTACCTTTCCTGCAAGTTTAGCATCTTCTGCTTAATGGGCTCAGCATGTGTTGGGAGGTAAAAAAAAAATTAGGAAAAGAAAAGTTCAAAAAGCAATGTCCTCCTTCCTGGAAGTGACCTTAAGTGATGGGTAAAAATGGTTTACCATTCAGTTGACCCAGAAAACCCCATGAAAGTGTGCCAATCAAGATATTCTAATCTGCAAGTACACTATAAGAATGCCCAAGAAACTGCCAGGCCACCAAGGCAATGCACATTGGAAAACCACCGATTGCCTGACAGATGAACAGTGACCATTCCGTTGTTATGATGGTGGAGCTGGTGGGTGTGCCCAGACCAAGCAGCTGGGTGGGCCCTATTGGGTCATGATCCAATAAGTGTGCCGAGTGCCTGTCACACACACTTAAAACTGCAGAAAGGGATGCTGAGCTGAAGAGTTTGGAGGTAGGGTCTCTGAACATATCCAAACAAACTAAACTTGCCATGCTATGGTCAGGCTAGCCCACACCTGAGCTCCCCAATGCCACACTGAGATATCGCTCGCTGAAAAGAAATGATTCCTAAAGCAGACAAGGAGATGGTGGAAGAAAGAGCTCTCAGATGACACTAAAGAAGCAAAACCTTATGGCTGGGGAATAATTTCCGCACAGATTTAAAACAAAACAAAACACAGGGCTGTCATTGTGGTGCAGTGAGTTAAACTGCCACTTGTGACACTGACATCCCATCTTTGAGCACGGATTCAAGTTCCTACTAATATGCCAGGAAAAGCAGTGGAAGATGGACCAAGCCCTTGGGTCCCTGCCACCTACACAGGAGAACCAGATGGAGTTCTAGGTTTCTGACTTTGGCCATCTGGAGAGCAAACCAGCAGATGGAAGATCTTTGTCTCTGCTATCGCTCTACCTTTCAAATAATTTTTTTTCAAACAATTACAATGCTTTCTAGGTATTGCTCTGAAATCCCAGGTGAAACTGAGTAGAGATCAACAGTGACCATCCCCAGGCTGAAAGAGAGAGAAATGAACAAGACAGGACTTCTTCATTTGCTGTGTAAACTGTTAACATCATGGAATGCAGATGTAGCCACATCTGCAACCTCCATGAGAACATGGCACCTTGTACAGAATAAATCATTCAGTCTACGTGTGAGGGAGGGAGAAGGAGGTAGGAGGGAACTCAGAAAGGGGCTGAGGTTTGACTGAAGGTGTTGTGGTGTGACAGGTCAAGAGCAGACGTCGAAGCCTCAAGAGGCCAGCAGGGACAGGGTCTTACCTGGTGCCTCTGATAGGCTGAGAACATTTTTTCAAAATCCTCCAGATCCAAGACACGAAACACTTGCATGTCATCGATGTCATTCCACACGGTGCCGGGGACCCGCTCCTGAGATGCAGGGAGAGAGTCAGGACACAGCCCCATGAATGGGCTGAACTGGCTCCGTCACCAAGGGGGTGCCTGGGGCCTCCCAAACCTACCTGTGTTCCCACACCACAGACCGTGGTGCCCTCAAACCCTCAGAAAATGGGCCCACCTGGCCCCTCCTCAACCCTCGCTCCAGGATAGCAGTCAGAGATAAACCTCTGTCCCCCTGGGTGGGAGGCCATATATAACAATGTTCCAGAAACCCCTGGGTGTGCTACAGCAGTGAATGAGTAATTGCCAAAGACACCTTGCTCAGAGCCCTGGCCCCAGCCCTCACTGTCCTCAGGCAGGCTGGCTTGGCTCTGCTCCTATGGCTGGCTGGACTCCCTGGAAGCATTTGGACCCACACATCCTTGGGACTCTCAGTATCTCTGTACAGACTGTGTTTTGGGGACCTAAGGTGGTAATCTTCTCTCCAAGACCTTCCCCTACTTTCCAAGATGTAGAGGTGGACAGGTACCAATGATGGGCACCTGTAGTGACCCTTCTCAGACCAGCCAGACTCTGCCACCACCCCTCTGCACTGTCAGTGAACCCCAGGGAATATGTCCCCATGCCTCTCACATGCGATGGGCTCCCAGGTGGTCTACCCTGAGGCCTTTTCTGCCGGCACTGCATTCCCTATGTGAGGGACCCTAGCTTTGCAACCTGGGAAGTAGTGTGAGCCAAGCCATGGACAGATCCAAGTAATCCTACAACACCCTGTCAATGGCTCCGTGGACATAGCCGTGCCCTCGTCAGCCGTGCCCTCGTCAGCCATGCCCTTGTCAGCCATGCCCTCGTCAGCCGCGCCAGTGCTCTCCACCCCTCTTCTGCCCAGACTTTTCTTCCTTAGAACTCTGCTCGCTTCTCAGTCTCCCAGCTCCCTCGGGCTGGAGGGCGGCCTGGGACCTTCACGCTGCCTCCCTGTCCTACTTCATGACCCCCTCCACAAGGCTTGGAGACAGAAGCATACCTTCCACTCACTTTTATTTTCTTAAACTCTGCAAAGGGGAGGCTAGGCCAGAGTCGGCGGGGGAGGGGAGCGGGTTACATTCCTGTGGCCTTTGGAAGGCCAGGGACCCTCCTGCGGAATGCTGGCCTGGGAAACCCAGAGCAGCGAGGCTTACAGGCAGCTAGCCAAGCCCAACACAGACGCATTCTTTTCATGGCAGAAACAACCGCTATGTATAAGTGTTGATTGTGTGTGTACATGTGTGTGCACATGTGCACGCACAGGTAGTGGAAAAAGCTTGGCGACAGGGGCCAGGCTTCTGCAAAGGGAGATGAGAGATGCAGAGATGAGAAGGCAGACTGAGGGAGGGGAGGCAGGCAGGAGGTTGGCTGACGTTCTGTGTGAGTGAGGGATCCTGAGTCCCCTCCAGAGGGAGACCGCCACCTAAATCAAGGCCCCCAGAGGGGAAGCTGCCCATTGCTGTTCATTTGTGGCAAGGCTGTGCAAGAAGACAAGGGGTATGATGTGAATGTGGATGTAACTGTAGGGAGAAACTCCCATGAGGCCACAGCCAGAGCATTCAGGTCTTCCTCACTTATCAAACATCAGCCCCTGGCCCAACCACCCCCCCCCACACACACCACCCCGGCTACTTCTCTAGGCTCTTTGTGGAGGGTCTAACTGAGGCCTGGTGTCAGACCAAGCCACATCCTGACCTGCACTGTGTCACCCTGGCATGCCTCCTGTCCCATCCTTCTCAAATTCAAGTTTTCCACCCCTCTGGCCAAGGCCTCTCACATCTCCTTGTGGACTCCTAGGGCTTAGGTCCCTCCCTAGAGCTAGCATTTGTTTTTCAGGGAAATCATTTTTTTTTTTTTTTTTAAAGAAAAACCTCTTTCTAATCACCCTTCTGAGCACTGCCTTTGGGGTCAGGCAGAGCTCATGGGCGGACTCCTCCGGTCTCGCCGCTACTCAAGGCAGCGTATTCCTACACAACTGCTAATCTTCGCCTTTGACATAGAAAAAAAAAAATGGGTCTCATCGATGCTTCCCTCACTGCGTTGAAGTGAGGGTTACCCAGATAACATGCTTGAGGCATTGTAGTGTCGCAAATAATCACTGACATAATATAACTAGTATCGAGGTTCTCTGTCAATTACTGTTACAAGTATTTTCTTAATCAATGCCCACAGGCTGCAGTCCTTAGATTAAATCACCTGCCCCTATATGCAATGAAACATTTGGAACTGGAATAGTAAGTCCCAAACCTTACTTAGTGCCCCCACCACAGGCTCCCACATGACTCTAAATGAACTCCCGTACACACCACATTTACTCCATCAAACCTGCACAGACTCCAAGCTAGGAACAAGTCTGTGGCCGATTCCTGACCCTTAGGGCATCTATCTAAGCTTTGCTATTACTAGACCATAGAGAAAATCCTGTGCAGAAAGCACCCTGTGATGAAAATATCACAAAAATATTAGCTGCCTTGTCTGTCTTCCCTAGTCATTGGTATACACGCTAACCCTTCATTATGCTTTTAAAGCCTTAAATTGTCAGTTTCAAACCTTGAATTAAGCAGTGGAGACAAATGTATTATTTCTCTCTCTCTTTTTTTGGTTTGTTTTTGTTTTAACCACACAAACTCAAATTTTTCTTTGAATCATGAGCAACAAATGTGGCAGCCCAGGCTGCAGCCTTCGGCTCTGCAGAGTTGGCAGGCCTTGGGGGCCCACCTTGTGGCCAGCAAGAAGCAGCCACAGAAACGACTGCAGGGCAGTCCTTGCAAACTCCACCACTCCGGCTCTAAAATGGTGCTAGCAAATGGTTCTAAGGGTTTCATAACTCATGTTGGAGACATTATTCGAAACAAGAGACTATGAATGGGCCTCATTTGTGCTTCACCTTCCCACTTGGATCATAAACTACAAGTGGAAGAGACCTTAGAGACCATCTCAGACAACCCCAGCCGGTGAAGGAGAAAGGAGTGGCATACACGGGTCACACAGCTTGTTATTCGGGTTTGGGTAGAGGTTAGGACCTCTTCTTCTACCCGTCCCCAGGATCCACGAGTGTTTCCTTGAATAAGTGTGTTAACTTGCCAAATGCTAAGCCTTAGAGGGCCATGTCATCTCTCAACTTTTACTACTATCTACTACAATGCCCATCAAAACCCTCTACATTAAACAGACTTCAGTCTAGCCAGCTGGTCTACCCTTAGGAGCCGTTCTCTTAACAAACAGCCACCTTACTAGCTTGGAATTTCCTATCTACCCTGATGTGAGCAGCCCTTTTAGCTCCTTTAAGCTCAGATAAGGTGAGTCCCCCACCAATGAGCTCAAGAAGTCTACATAACAAGAGCAGAGTAGATCCACCACCCCAGCTTCAAGCTGGTGTCTCTGTAGCTGCTACTGAAGTAGATACATGGACCAGGATCACTGAAACCAACCACCCTGTACATATTGATGCCAGGCGGCAATGCAACTGGTCTCCCTACAGGATCTTCCTTTGTGCAGCAGCAGAAGCAGATGTGACTCGGGTTGGTCATCAGTTCCAGGTCTCTAGAGACCCAGGGACCCTGTACTCTGTTCGCAAGAATCCAACAGAAGAACTTCTTCTCACATGTGGCCTGTGGTTGGTACTTCTCAGGTAATACTCATGAGGGCCTTTCACTCTGGTTCTCAGAATGTGACCAGTGTCTGGGCTTTCCAGGTGAGATGCTCACAACTCAGGGCATCAAACTCGGCAGCCCTTTGTCCACGCTGCCCCCATATCTAGACTCTGGTCCAGGTTCACTATCTACATTTTCCACTCTGCCTCAAAACCATTCTGTCTTTGAAATTGCAGCTAGGCCCTTGTCCTGTAAAGCACCATCCAATGGCACATGCTGGGCCACCTCTGTTGCTCTATTAGCCCACAGCTAACTGAGTTTCATTGGCAGGTGTCTCCACCATGTGTTGAGCAGTCAGTCATTCCAGCAGAAATTTCTCCCTAGCAGACAGCAAGCCCTTAGGCCATCAATTAACCCGTCACCTGTACCCACTATGACCCCCCACCCCATCCCTCCTGCCTTCCCCATCAGAGAAAGAACACAGCCTGGACATCTGCAAAGGGCCAGAGGCATCCTATGGGGCTGACCACCACTGGCCACAAGACAATGGACCCGTGAACCCTCTCCCGGGAGCTCACCTCATTCAGCTTGACCCAGTTGAAAGACTTCAGCGGGTGGGAAGGCTGGGGCACACGCTTTTTCCTGAGCGGTATGTAACTGCTGGGGAAGGGGTCCTGAGGGACAGGCAGGGCCATGCCAAAGCAAGGTGGGGCACCTGGGGGCGTGGGAGCCCCTCCAGGTGGGAGGGGTGGCGGGGGTGGAGGAGGACAGCAGACGAAGGGGAGAGGAGGTGGAGGTGGAGGCCGGTCATCGGTTGTCATGGAGGAAGAAGACAGGATGAGTGGGCCCCCCGGGGGAGGGGGAGCAGACACAGGGCCTGTCTGTAAGGAGACAAAAGATTCACAAGGACAAAGACATCAGCACTGCTTCTGCTCACCCTTCCTTTCCTCCTCTTCTCGGTCTGTGCTGGGTCCCAAGGCTTGCTCTCCCATACACGTGGTCATTCCCTCACTCTACAGCCCAAACATCCAACACATACACACCCACATTGTACGATCAGAGTCACAGCCTCACAGTGCAACCACAGAACGCACACATCCAGTTGCACAGGCCACTGACTCCACCAGGAGACATGCAGCTGAGGGGACTGGGGGTAGAATTCCTAGCTTCCTGTGCTTCCCAGAGTGTGCGCTGCCTTGGGCAGTGCTAGCTACAGAAGGTGGGATATCATCTTAATTAATACAGAGTGCCACTTGTATAGACTTAGGGGTCCCAGGCAGCCTAGCCTGTACTTCCCCTCTGTTCTGCCTCATGTGGAGCTTCCCGGCACCCCTGCACACCACTCTCCCCACCCTAACCTGAGGCCCAGGATATCTGGTGAGCTCTGTAAAAAGGAGAGAAGGCCTACGTACCGAGAGGTCACTGAGCTGGGCCACCAATTCTGCCACTTGTCCCCGGGCCTGGCGCAGCTCCTGGGACTCCCGGGCCAGCTTGTCCTTCATCTTGTTCAGTGTTCGCATCATCTCCTCCTTCTCCAGCGTCTTGGTCTCACATTCGCGCTCCTTCCTCTCCAGCCGGCTCACCAACTCCATGTGTTCTGGGCAGGAACAGGGCGAGAGAGGAAATGTGAGGCAACAGTGAGCATCTGTGCCCCCTTTGGTAGGAGGAGACGGGTCCTGGTCTGGGCAGGGAGCAAGACAGGGAGTGGACAGAAGGTTTTGGCAGAACATCTCACCTTTCCGGAACTTCTCTGCCTGGTCTCGCCACTGTTTGACTTCATTCTCATTGATGAGCCTGGTGGGGATTGGGGCGGGAAGCAGTTTGTTAGCTAGAAGAGATGTGTTCTCTCTCTCTGGCCCACATGGGTACCTCATCCCCAGTCAGCCCAGCTATATTGCAGGGCAGCTAAGATTTGAACCCTGTAACTGTCTCTCCAGCAGCCCGCCCACACCCAGGTCTCATTCCGTGTCTGTAGGAACTACCAGAGTACCAAGCTTCCTTTGCTACCTTAGGATCCAATCCCTCTTTGATCCCCTTTGAGCTACTAATGCTCACAGACCAGCAATGGGACTGAGAGCTACTTAATAGGTGAACTAGGACTCATGTCAGGCTTTGCTTGGGTGGCATGCATCCTTTGTACAAACAGACTCTGATCTCAGGAAAAGGCTAAAATGTGGGCTACACCATGGTCCAGGCTTCCCGTGTGTAAGAACAAGAGAAATTTCCTACCCTGGCAATCATACAGAGTATGTTTTGCCCACTCTAGCGATAAGACAGGAGAATGAGTATGTGGGAGTTGACAGAGGATGTGTCTACAGCAGGAAGGCCCCATCCATGTCAGACCCTTGTAATGATGGGCTTAAGCAACACTCCCACCTGGACACCAGGGTGTCCAGTAAACACTTCTGTAAAATTTTAAGCACAGATGTGTTAAATGACATACTTTTCCACCAGATCCATGATAAGGATAGGGGAGTATTTAGTGAGGTTTCTTTGGAGAGAGCCTTTATTTACTTCCAGACCTGGGGCTGGGGTTACTGCCTCCTCACACCACCCCAGGAAGAGGTTTCCATGGGCCCACTCACTCTGCTAACATTGGGAAGGAATCTAGGAGGATGGAGATGTGACTTAGGGAATGGTAAATCCAGAGACTGAAGCAAGACTGAGCAGGTAGGTGCTGCTGTGCCAAAACCTGCAGGCACCCTGAAGGATGTTAGCCTAAGAGGCTAAGTGTTGCTTCTGGGCCAGGTGTAAGCCTTGTGGAGGAAATGGGCTGAAGCTATTAAGACTCCTGTCCCAAAGGTCCACTTGGGACAGAACTTGGGCACATCAGCACCAGCACTCTTCGTGTGAACCAGAGGCTAACAGAACAGCTGGAAACAGCCAGCTGGCAAGAACATCTTGCATGTCAGTGAGTCGAGTTTTATGAGACACATTCTGGAGATCACTGGAACACATAGCATCTTTGCCCTGTGCCAAGCCCAAAGAGCAAGGAGCCTGTCAACTAAATTCACTGCTCAGTAAAGACCCCTTGCTGATCTCTCTCCTGCCCCAAGACTGTCTCTGGTAGGGGTCAGTTAGCTAACCAAAAGGTGGGTGGGAGGGAGAAAGGAATGCAGAAGAAACAGAGAAGAGTAAAGAAACCAGTCATTGCCATTCTGGCCTCCCTGGGCCAGCCAGCAAAGAGAGAGACAGAGACAAAATCAAGCCTCATGGGCCCGGCGGTGTGGCCTAGTGGCTAAACGCCTCGCCTTGAACGCCCTGGGATCCCATATGGGCGCCAGTTCTAATCCCGGCGGCTCTACTCCCCATCCAGCTCCCTGCTTGTGGCCTGGGAAAGCAGTTGAGGATGGCCCAAAGCCTTGGGACCCTGCACCCCTGTGGGAGACCCAGAAGAGGTTCCTGGTTCCCAGCTTCGGGTTGACACAGCACCAGCCGTTGTGCTCACTTGGGGAGTGAATCATCGGACGGAAGATCTTCCTCTCTGTCTCTCTTCCTCTCTGTATATCTCCCTTCCAATAAATAAATAAATCTTAAAAAAATATCAAGCCTCGTGTATTGCTGCCTATTTGGTAAGTTTTTTTTCTCAGCAGCAACAGCTTCATGTGATCTTAAGGCTTGTACTGAGAAGCCTCCTTATTAAATACTGGAGCAACAACTGACTTGTAGTGAGAAGCCTCCTTACTAAATACTCAACGAGTAGAAAATATGACAAAGCCTGCCTTTTGACCACTTTACTAGTTATACTTGGCCAAAACACCAGTTAAGGTTTCACTACATCAGCATAAAGCAATTTGTGAAAGTGAAAAAATAAAGTTTCAAGAATGGTTCCATAACACTTTACTCAGCTTTAGGAGGCAGCAGGATGAATCCTTCAGAGCCAGTTTATCTCCTTAGGGGCAGTTAGCTCAGACTCATGTCGAAAACAATGTGTTCATGGACATTCTTATTACTCACTGATGCACACTTCAATTTAGTTCTCTGTGTTTCTGTACACCCATGGTCAATAAAAGGTAGAAAATCAAAAGACCTTAGGGTCCACCAACTGCCCCTCAACAGCCTCGTGGCCAAATAATCACACTCTGTTGGTCGTTAGCAAATGTATAAAGGGCTACAGAAAATATCTATGGCTCTAGGCACACATGGAGTCTCTGTCAGTATTCTTGTGCCTGTGTTAAAATTGAAGGAAGAAATATTCTCAGCTCATGGACCACACAAGACAAAGCTAGAGGGTCTAGCACATTGGCTCAATCGCTAAGTCCTCATCTTGCAAGTACTGGGGTCCCATGTGGTTGCCAGTTCACATCCCAGCTGCTCCACTTCTCATCCAGCTTCCTGCTTGTGGCCTTTGAAAACAATGGAGGCTGGCCCAAAGCCTTGGGACCCTGCACCCACACAAGAGACCTGAAAGAAGCTCCTGGATCCTGGCTTCAGATTGGCTCAGCTCCAGTTACTGTGGTCATTTGGTGAACCAGTGGATGGAAAATGTTTCTCTGTAAATCTGATCTGCCTTTCCAATAAAGTTTAAAAACAAGAACAAAACAAAAAACACAAGCTGAAGGCATGGAGCCAGTGCATGCACTACAGCTGGTTGAACAAGGCTATATGTTACTGTGCTAAAATCCTCCTTCTACTCAACCCCTATGGGGAGTCACTGAGGAGTGAGTATATATCCACTACACCCATGTTCTCCAACACAGGAACCAGCAGCCACATGTCAGGCAGTTACACAAATCTAACTCAAACAGAACATAAAATTAATTGGCACACCAACCACCTATCAAGGACTCAGTCACCCTGTTCTCCATCCATCCTACGAGGTCTACTGGCCAATGCTGCTCCAGACCCCCTGGAGGTGCCTGTATTGACAGAAGGGACCACTGAAAGCGAGCTAGAAGGTGTAAGATCTCAGGGCAGAAACAGTCACTGCTCACATATTAACGATGTTCTTGACATTGAAGTTCTCCAGGGGAGCCAGGTCAGGATCCACGCCTCGCTCATCCTGAAGGACGATCTGTTGCAGGATACGGTCCAGGAGCTGCCACTGCTGGAAGTAGCCGCCATTCCGCTTGTCTGGGGGACAACATGTCCGTGTTATACTGCTACTGAGCCCGGGGGCCTGGAGGCCATGACTGCCCCAGGGCCCCTGCCGGGGTTCAGGCTGGTGATGCATGCCCTTCCCCATCCATAGTGAACTCCCAGTCTGGTGGGAGAGAGACTGCCATTGCTGATGATGGAGACATTCAAATGCAGCCATCTGATGATCTACAACCGACCATGAACCCACAAACCCTCCCAACATAGTTCTGAATACCCTGAAATGCTCCCTGGCTTTCTTGTTTGGACCCCAAGGATGAAAACTGCTTGTCATGTTATCTACAAAAAGCACCTGTTCTAAAAAACTACATGCTGAATGATGAGGTCTCCAGGGAAATTTTTTTACATAAAGATTTTAGGATTATCTATGCTATTGCTCTACAGAGGACGACTGAAAAATGATTACAGGTGTGCCCAAGAGATACTCAAAGATATTAAAGAAGCAGTTACTAGAAGTCAGGGATATGTATTGCCAGAGGTCACCTTGAACCAGCAAGACAAAGACATTGCATGCTATGCCTTTTCTCACAGAACCCCACTCAAATACCTTAGAATTAGTCTGGCTGTTCATGGGCTTCCTTTTCACACAATGGTCACAAACTCTTTTTCCTTAGTTCCTTTTAAGATTTATTTATTCAAAAGTCAGAGTTATAGAGAAAAGAGAGAGAGATCTTCTGTGTGCTAGTTCATTCTCCAGATGACCACAATTGGCCAGAACCGGGCCAGTCCAAAGCCAGGAACTTGTTGTAGATCTACTACAACATGGGTGGCAGGGTCCCAACGCTTGGCCCAACTCCACTGCTTTTCCCAGGTTACCAGCAGGGAGCTATATCAGAAGTAGAACAGTTGGGACCAGAACCAGTGCCATTTGGGATGCTGGCACTGTAGGTAGCAGCTCTACCCACTATGCCACAGCATTGCCACATACTCCTGTGGTTGTTGATCCCAGGTACTTCGTCTTCACTGGTTAACAAGGGAAATCAATCAGTGCATTCCTGACATCAAAGTCACTTCATCCTGCTCACGGGCAGGCAAGCTAATCTACACAGCCCTATTTGAGACAAAGGAAAGATTCATTTATAAACCAGACCACCAAAGGCAAGAACTCTAGGAGTCAGAAAACTAGAAAACTCAAATTTCCGAGGCCTTCCATGTGCAACTTCTAGGCTGAGTTTTGGAAAACTGGTAGCTTTCCAGTTAGTCCATCTTCCTTTCCACTTCCACTCCACCAGCACTGCATTGTGACACAGGTTTCCACTCACCTTTAGAGCCAGGTCACTAGCTTATAGAAGCATAACACGTTTGCTCTGAACTCCTGACCCCAGAGAAATGACAATTCCTTCTGTATGTAAAGAATGGGCTCAGAGACCATTGCTGTGACACAGCAGGCTAAACCTGCAATGCTGGCATTCCATGTGAGAGTCAATGCCAAGTCCCTGCTGCTCCACTTCCCATTCAGCATCCTGCTGATGGCCTGGGCAAACAGTGGACCATGGCTCAAGTGTCTGAGCATCTGCTACCCACATACGAGATCGGGAAGAAGCTCCTGGCTTTGGCCTGGTCCAGTCCTGGCTATTGTGGCCTTCTGGGTAGTCAGCCAACAAAGGGAAGATATTCTCTCTCTCCTTATACTTCTGGCTTTCAAAGAAATAAATGTTTCAAATAAAATAAATAAATTCAAAAGCATATTCTCAGTTTCAGGTTCATTCACTATGGAGACAGCAGTGCACACTTCTAGGGTCATCACAAGGTTTGGAGACTGTGCCGGAGCATTTCGTCTCAGGCCTGGTCCAGCTCTGATGCAGGACACGTGACAGTTGTCACAATCAGTGAGACTACCAGCACTGCTGTCACCCCCATGTAAAGAGTCTGGCTAGTTGACCACTACTGTGGTAGAGCACACAAGTTTTCTGCGTGAAGAGTCCAAATATCAGATGATACAATCTGAAAGCTCACTTCAGATTGCTTTCTGGGGTACCTACTAGTAGTAAAGGACATTCATTCCTTCATAGCACACACCTGGGTCTTAAAAGCTTATGCATCTACAGATGCTAAAATGGGGCACTTGCAGGTAGAGGCAAGAGTGTTAAGATGGGAGACAGCAAGGAAGGAGCTGGTGACACACACACACAAAATAGGGCTTGTTCATGCCACATCTGTGCTGCTTTCCCAGACAAAAGGAACTTCTGCTGGAACCTCCACAGCCTAGCAGACCCTCCTCTGGAGGACTGACCCATCCTCTGTCACAAGCTAACAGTCAGGGCAGTTTGACCTTGCAGTCCTGAATCTACTGCTTGTCAGACTAGGATGCTGAAGTCACTCAGCGCCAAGTTCCCCACCTTCTTCTGCAGGTGAGAGTGGGCATCAGTGACCCCCAATGGGGAAGGGAAGCACAGGGCCTAGGTCCTCAGGCTCAGGTACGGCCTCATGGGGCTGGTGTGGAAGGAGACCCAGTCAGCCCTGCCACACCCAGGGAGCCCTGGAATCCTATTTCCTCTGGCCTGTCCCAGGCTCAGGACCAGCTGAGGGGGTGGAACATGTGGGCTACTCACACGGCATCTGCAGGCAGTGGTGCAGGACAGAGAGCAGGCAGGGGTAGGCCTCGGTATGCTTCAGTTTCTTGTGAATCAGGTCGAACATCTGGGAAGCACTCTTCGTGTCGATGTGGACCTGGGCAGCGCAGGGCACAGGGAAGGGAGACCAGGTGACCATGGAGGAAGAGAAGGGGAGAAGGGAGGGCCTTGAGTCCGTTGGCTGAGCTCCAGAGCCCAAGAGAGCTTTTCTTCGCCTGCCTCTGGCCCGGGCTTTAAAAAGAGAGACAGGAGCTGGCACCGTGGGATGGCAAGTAAAGCCACTGCCAACATTTCATATGGGTGCCAGTTCGAGTCCTAACTGTTCCCTTTCCGATCTAGCTCCTTGCTAATGCACTGGGAAAGTAGAAGAGGATGACCCAAGTGCATAGGCCCCTGGACCCACATGGGAGACCCGGAAGAACCTCCATTTTCCCGATAGGGGCTGGCCCAGCTCCAGCTGTTGCAGCTATTCGGGGAGTGAACCAGCAGATGAAAGATCTCTGTCTCTAACTCTGACTTGAAAATAGAAAAAATAAATCTTTTTTAAAGAAAAGAGAGAAAAGAATGAGGGAGAGTATTAATTACACAAACTAGGGCTTTGCCATCTCCACTCTCAGTTCATCTCACACTGTCTAATTCTTTGCTGTGGGCAGGCAGGGGCTGTCCTGTGCAATGCAGGATATTCAGGATTACCCCTAGCCTCTGCCTCCTGGTGACAGTGGTGACAACCAAAAATGTCTCTAGGCGTTGCAGATGCCCCTGGGGAAGAGGGAAGCAAATCTTACCCTGGTGAAGAACTACTGACCCAAGCCAAGGGAAGGGAGCAGGATGTAGAGGGCTCAGAAGAGTCAGTGGTATGGGTCACAGGCCTGCCACTTGAGCTAAAAGCTGCTATCTTGTTGAGTGGCATCAGCAAAGGGCTTGCCCGCTCTCACTTCAGCATCTTCATCTACATATCCAGGGCTGTGAGCGTGTACCGATATGGTGCTTGGTGACTGAAGGTACCACCATCACACCATGCCCCCTCGCAGAAGGGGGCTTCTCCTTGGATAGGGACCTGAGAACACTGAACAGCAGAATTGTGTGCTTTCAGGATTTCTAAGACTGAAATGAAAAAAGGATTTGGCTTTTGGCTTGTGGCTCGGGGGCTGGTTAGAGATGAAGAGCAGAGGCTTGGGGAATTTGATGGAAGGAAGCAGGAGAGGTGGCACCAGGAAGGTGCTGGAGGGCTAATCCTGTGCAGAAACTGGCTAGCTCTCTCTCTCTCTCTCTCTCTCTCTCTCTCTCTCTCACACACACACACACACACACACACTTTGGGGTTTTAATCTCAAAGATAGAAGAGCAGGTGAGGCCTCCAGAGGAAACTCATCAGTTATTGTTCAACGCCAATGTGCTACCAGGGCTTTAGAAGCCAGACTCAGCCATGGGGGAACCCATCACAAGTACCTGTGGGGCTGTTTGGAACCCCATCACCATCACCTCCCCTGACAGGATCCTCACCATGTCAAACCTCCTGGCTAGTTCAAGGTCATCCTCATTCCGGACCATCTCAAAAAAGTCTAAGTGCCTAGAGAGGATGGGGGAATAAGAGGGCATAGATGTTAGAGCCAGAACATCCCTGGATGAGGCTACAGCCCCTTCAAGCCCCACACTGCCTGCTCAGAACACTTCATCCAGACAAGGCAAAGGCAGAACCAGAAGGAAGCCATCTGTCTATAGGCCAGCACACTTTCCCCTTTGCTGAGTTCCAGTGCCCTCTTTAGATCAGCCCAAGGCTCCATCACCATAGCTGCAGGCACCTCCACTTGAGCACGGATGACAATTTTGGCTTGGTTGTCCACTGCTGTAGGAGGCTGATCTGTGCATTGCTAGATGGCCTATGGCATCCCTGGCCTCAACTGGCCAGATGTGCTAGAACTATTTGGTGTGATAACCAAAAGGCCTCCTAATGTTGCTTAATATATTTCCTGCCATGGAATCACCGTCTGTCAAGGCCCAGAACCCCATCTCCACCTTCCCCAGGGTCTCCATATCACTCCCCACATCATCCCTCATGTCAGTCTCTCACTCATTTTCTATTCATCCACCTACATTCCCTACTCTACCGCAGAAGAATGCATCCTTCTCCTTTAAAGGCAAGCACCATAAAAAATAGGCTACAGTAATGGAACAGGACAGGAGGGGCCTCACAGGAACTTAACCATGCCCTTGGATCATCAAGGGCCTGACAGCAGGTACTTTGAACATTTCTCAGTTGGGCAGGAACACACTGAAAGATGTTTAGTATTCCTGGCCCCAACAATCAGTCCTGTCCTCCACCAACCACTTTGAAAACCAGAGAACACTCCCCAGTAAATACACACACCGATTCCCAAATGTCCCCCAGGGGGCAGCACTGCCACGGTTGAGGACTACTGGGTTCAAAGGTCTATACTGTCAGAGGGAAGACATGGAGATCAGCAAAGTAGACAGACAAGGGCACAGCCATCCCACACAGAGCCGATCGCTGGGCACAACAGGTCATTTCTAGTGGCAAGAGCAGCCTTCCCCCAAGGCACTGAGCATCCTCAACTGAGGCTCTGTCCCCACAGATTTGCAGAGGGGGTTGCTCTGGCCTTACTTGTCCAGGATGGCATTCTCGTGTTGCCGGAGCTTGTCGATCACAGGCTGTATCCCCAGCATCAGGAACTCATACCGTAGATGGAGGCGGAATTCCAGGTTATCCTAGGGGGTAATGAAGGGAGAAGCTTTGGTCTAAATAGCCATAAGAGTGGCTGGTGGACCCATCGCCACCACCCCAGCTGTAGTCCTACCATTTCTCCTGCAGCTGTAGCCCTACCATCTCACCTGCAACTGTGCCAGGGGGAGCTGCCTTTGACCTTGGACCCATGGCGAAAGTGTCCTTTGATCTTGTTCTTTCTCCAAAACAAACCTTCTGCCCAATTTCCTTCAGGTCTTCTACCACACATCCTTCAAGCCCCTGATCAGTTTTCTTTTTGCCTCCAGCATCAAAAAGCAGTGGTGGAGAGTGCCACAGACCTCAAACGTCTGCATCAGATGCATCTTGGTTCAACTCCCTGCCCAGTTCCCAACTAGCCCTTAGTTTCCCACACTTGTAAAATTAGCATACCAAGAATTACCTATAGTGGATGGAATTCCTAACAATTACCAGATGGAAGGTGACTACCAACTCATCAGAACACATGCCAGCCACAGATAGCTGGCACTGACCAACCAGGTGGTATCAGCAGGATATCCTAACTCAGCTCAGCAGGATTGCAAGAACAATACCATGCTGGCAGACAAGAAGGGGAAGTAGAGACATTTATTGGCTCCCCTCTGCCTGTTGTCCTCCCAGTTCTTTTATTATTATTATTAATTGCATTGCATTATGTAACACAGTGTTATGGGCACTGGGATTCCCCCCACCCCTCCCAGAACCCTCTCCCCATGGTGGATTTCTCCACCTTGCTGTGTTACCACAGTTCAAATTCAGTTGAGGTTCTTTCATTGGAAGTATTAAGCATAAAGTCCAGCGTCTTATTATCCTAGTGGGTTCAACGATTTCTTGGTGAGACCATCTCTGGTCTGAAGGTAAAGCCAGCAAAGTATCATCCCAATCAATTAAAAGCCCTGACATAACATCGACAACCATTTACAACCTTATGGCATTAATTGACATGGTATTGATTAACAATATGTTAGTAGGAAAATGTGGGTTCTTAACTACATCCTGTGACTTCTTCATAGACATTTCAATTTTTGGTTTATATTCAACCGGATTCCATACACCTCAAAATGGCTATAGATTACTATTCAGCTGTCTCGTCTATTTTTATTTTAGTATTTAGCTGCTTATAGTGTTGAAGCATGTTTTTGCTGAACTTAGTTGTTTTTCGGATGGTCTGAACTGGCTTATAACTCTAGCAAGACATGTGTCCTAAGTTTAGGTACAGAACTTTTTTTTTAGGATGGGTGTGCAGAGAAATCATACAAACAAACAAAAAATCTAGAATGGACAGACAACAACAAGGAAAGCTCCCAGTTGATCTTGACTGGGACAACTGATTGCCTTAGAGCTTAGGGAGTCCCTCTCTTTTGTTCTTCAAGATTTCCTGTTAATATTGCTGTTTTTGTACTCTAAGAATCCAATTCTGATCCCAAAGGGAAGGAAAGCAGAAGCCATGCTTCCAATAAAAGGTGCTAGAAAACCATCATTAACCTTTCCAGTTCCCTAGAAAAGTCTAGAAAGAAAGTCCAAGATCTGCCCTCCTCCTGTGATGACATCTTTCCCTGCAACGTCCCCCTCTGCCCCATCACCCTGAGCCACCATCAGCCTGGCAGGTCTGGCGTTTGTTCATGACACACAAGATGTAACCCTTGCAGCAACCGCACCCCTACACCACCCTGGAGGAAACACAATCAAGAATTTGGAGGAAAGAAAAGCCAGCATTCATCATCATCACTACTTGGGAGTGAGTGGGTCACAAGGAGGTGCCAGGCTGTCCCTCACAACACCAGGAGTCACAACTTGTGGCTCTTTCTTGGCCCCAAAGTGAAGGAGCCAGGAGATTCTAAAGATAATCCCAAAATGGGGGAGGGGAGCGGCAGCCACATTAGCCAGAAACCTTGACCCCCTGCCCAGATTGCTCTCGCACAGTCCACCCATGAACACACTCAGTGCACAGTAGGGACAAAAAGGCTCCACACCTCTCCAGCTCCAGCATTGAGGACGGCATTGATGAAAGACATGATGGCTGTCTTCAGATTCACTTCATCCCGGTAGCGGCCCAAGCTGCGGTCCAGCTCGTTCAGTAGCGTCTGGATGAACAGGTGGGACAAGGCAGGAGAGGAAGACTCAGGGTCCCAGGAGGGCAGCCTCTGCTCCTTTGCATTGCCATTGTGATTGCCTAGAAGGCCCCTCACATTCTCCCTCTGCCAAGAAGCATCCTTTGCTCTGTCCACCTGTCTCAGCGCTGCCTTCCTGCCTCTCTACTCAACCTTGGAGCTCCACTTCTATGGCTGGGAAGTGCTGGGCAGTGCTGCATCCTGCTTCATTGCTGCCTGTGTGTTTTAGCTAGCCCCTGTGTATTCCCTGCCCAGACACTAGCTGGTCCCAGACACAACCTGTGATCCTTCCTCCATCATCTGCAAAGCATCAGGGGCCACTTTCTGCATATTGCAGGTGCTCAAATATGTTTGACAAAAACATAAACAAACCATCATGCTGGCAGTTTGTTGCCTCAGTTCACATCCACTGATATTTACTCTATGGCAGGCATGTTATGTGTATTATCCTTTTTGTTGTTATTTTTCTGCACAGCTAAGGGAACATGGCCCGAGCTCCCAGGGCTGGTCCCAATGTCCCCACGATTTGATCACCCCGGGCAGGGAAACTAAAATTGGGATGCCAGCAATTGCACTTAATTCAGTAATTCTTGAAAGAACCACCATTCTGAGTCAGGCGCTAGATCCAGAGCCACAGAGCCACAGAAATTACACAACCCAATACTTCAGTGTCTAGGAACCCATGGTCTGGTGAGCAGGTCAAGTCCACTTCCTCAGCCTAGCACTCAGCCTCTCCTATCATTCTGTCAGCCCTGCAGGTTGCTCTTCTCTCTGTAGCCCAGATTACGTCCCTTCCCTCTCCCCTGCCCTATCATTCCCTACAGAGTGTCTTTAGTGCCTTGTGCAGTGTCTCCACCGCACCCTGGGCCAACCTTCTCACCTGGAAGCGTGTTCGCTCAGCTGCATACACCTGGTAGTGCAGCATGGCTTGGAGCACCTTCTTGTGGCCACCAGGCACAAGGCACACAGCGCCCAGGATCTCCAGCACGGCCACTTTGGTCTTGCTGTTCTCTGTGCGCAGACTCTGCGCGATGGTGCTGATGGCCTCAGGCTGGGCCAGCACATGCGCCCGCCCCTGGGAATTGTTCATCAGTGCTTTGATGCAGCCGATGAGCGAGGTGTGGATGCGGCTCTCACACGTGGCGTGGTCCATGCTCCGGAGGAAATTCAGCAGACAGGTCAAGCCCTCCAACTCGATGAAGCGAGTCACAAACCTACCGGGCAGAGATGTAGAATGAAAGGCATCTCTGCATTTTGCTCTGCAGGCATTTTGCAAGCAGCCCTGTACCTGAACACCACCTTCCATGTAGGGTAGCTGTTTGGCTCATTTATAAAATACATGCAAGATATTAAAATCCTCTCAGTCTCACACCTTTGCATTTTAAGTACTGTGCATTTGCACCTCATTGTCCATGGCTTTGCTGAAGTGGCTTATAGGTGACAGGAAAGATTATGAGCATCATGACAGGTGCTCAACCTGAATGCTCATCTCCTAGGAGGATGGAAATCAAGAAGATGACAAAGGATAAGCGGACTTCCAGCCAGGGACACCATCCGGGTCCCTCAGGCCAAGGACCAAGGCTGACTCGGGGAGCTGCTAGTCCAGGGATCCTTGGGAAGACAGGAGATGTCCTGACCATTGCAGAAGCCAAGAATAACCCACTTAACACAGGGGCTCTTAACCTAATCTGTTTCCCTAAAGGGTTTATGGGTAGCATTCAAGGATCCAAGGACTAGAATGGGATAAGAAAATTACATTTTCATTTTTGGTAACTGAAATGCAGTGTTTCCTTCTGTGATGAATGTGGGCAATAAGTGGCGGTGGAATGAGCAGAATCTATGACTCTGTCACCCAAAGAAATCACAGCTATTTTCATATCAAATTATAGTTGTTGCAGGTATCTCAAAATATCATTTACACTCATCAGCACTTCAAAATTATGGTGGTTATCAGATCCATTGCTAGCTTTTGCTGTCTCAGGCATAAAGAAGCATGTTTATTTCTATCTCATACATTTTTAATATTTGGTGGCTGTATTTTAATCTAATTGGTTTATTTTTTTAATCCTCTCTATTTTATTATTTAAAAACATCGTTTCAGGAAAGCAGCCCATAGATTTTAAAAGACGCCAGAGACCCCTGGTGAACCTGTTTACATACTGAGAGGCTTGGAACTCTTGATTTAGAATAATAATTAATGACCTGAGGCGAGGGGCATAAATTGAGCAGAGGAACCACTATCTATATTTATTCCAAGTGTATTTACATGCATTTTATATTATTGCGCAAATATGTCTACAGCTGTAGAATATGCTGTCAAGTTAGCAACAGGCATTTTCTTGTACCTACAGTATATGCTTTTTTATATTCCACAAATTTCCACAATGACTATGTATAACTTCAGTCATCAGGATTTTACTAATGGATAAAGTACCACAAATTGAGGTGAAGATGAACCTGTCTATTTTCTCTCAATCCTTTGGACTTCCTGACCTCCTCAACCTTTGCTGCATTGCTCCCCCCAACAGGAGAGTTCCCCAAACCACTAGCCAAGTGACAGTGGCTTTAGGATGTCCCTGTTTTCAGGCAGGATCTGGTGCCAGGCTCCTGAAACACACTGCTTGGCCCAGTCACAACCTCTTCCTTTCCCCCCGACTCCCAGTCCCTCACAGAGGCCAGCGGACAGCTAGTGTTGAACAACTAGATCTCTCAGGAAGGAAAAAAAAAAATCAAAGGGCTAACTACCAGCACTTGCTGGTCCAAACTATCAATGAGCCACCGTTGAACTGGACTAGGGAAGAAAGGCACCATCACATGGTACCCCCACCACACACACGCACGCAAACACTGTAAATTCAAGTGTACACTTAATGGTCACAAGCATGTGTCAATGATTAAAAAGTAGAAAAATAATTAGGTGATTAGAGAATGGTAAGCTGCAAGGGTCTAATACTTTTGTTTTTGTTATATTTCATCCTAAACTTATGTTTTAATCACAGCTGTGTTTGGACAACCAATTTGCAAAATTTTAGAAAATTGAATAGTCAGCTCTCACCATCTGGTGCCAGTCAGTTTCAGCAAACCCTGAGGCCGACCCAGACACAAGGAATCCCTTGTGACTCTTGGCACACTGAGGACTCCACACAGGGTAGCCTGGAAGGAGCAAAGAATCCTCCCACCACCCTCGGGGCGTCCGATCCTTTTCCTTTGCTGACAAGGCTCCCATTCCAGATGGTCCAAGTCCAGCCAAGGGCACCACAGCTCCTCCTAGTGGTTGGAGCATTTCTCAAACTAAACCCAGGTCCATCTTCTTCCTGGCCAGGCACTCATCTTGGCCCTGGGTTTCAGAAAGTCCTTTGTCATAAGTTTATCCTTGTGACCACCTTCCTGTTTTGTACCCCCACCACACACTCACACCCTGCAAGTAACAACACCTCCCTCCCTTTCTCTAGAGAGAGTTCCTTGGGACCAAGTCTTATTCCACTTGTAGCCTCAATCCCCTGCTCCGGACCCACCCACCCCTTGGCAGCTCCCCTGTCCCTCAGGAGGGAAAGGGTAGGGGCTAGGAAGCACAGTTGGGACCATGAACTCCAAGGAATTCTGGGTGTGGCGTCAACAATAGGCATTGGCATGGATGCAACACTGTGTAAGGCTTTGGGACCGCCTGGTGATTGGTGTTGAAGGATATGAAGGTGGAGAGATTGGTGTTACCTCATGGGCTGTGTGCGGAGAGCTGTCTTCAGATCTTCCACCACTTGATTCCTCATCTCCATCTCCTCCTCATCAAAGGCGTAGAGACTCTGCATCTGAGGAGCCCCAGGCAGCAGGGAGTAGAAGTCACATGGCATTGCCTGGCTCCCAGATCCCTGTACCCCTCAGTCCAGGAGCAACCCAGGGCCTTGGGAAAGGTGGAGGGGCTCAGGATCTCATCCTGAACATTCCATTCCTCATCTGGGCAAAGGGGAGAATTACTGGGCCAGCTTATTTCCCAAGCCCATATGCTTTCCAAAGGGGCTGGTAATGGTCTCAAGGGGTCTACAAGTCATGCAGAGGAGGGGCAGTTTATGATAAGATCTGGGGGTTAGCCCTAGGGAGTGGATGAGAGGGGCAGGTAAAGGTGAATTGAAAGGGAAGTTTTCCTGAGGGAGAAGGGAAGGATAGGAGCAGACAAGCTCACCGCAGCCATGGAGTTGATTCGGTCAATGTAATAGTCCGGCCAGCTGGTGGCCAGCTTGTTGGGGTCCTCCTGCTCCTGGAATAAGAAAGATGTTGTGCACCGGTTGGCAAGACAGGCCCTTGGGCTGGGGTCCTGGGCTCTGTCAGTGTCAGGACAGTGAGTCATGCCCCAGCCCTGCCCACACAGGGATGCTTGAAGAAAGTTATAAAATCCCCATGTGTTCCCATGACTTCCTGTACCAGATGCAGATAAAGAACCCTGATCTCTGCGGCACAGGCTGGAACTGTGGAAATGTTTTCAAGCAAGTGCGGTTTTTAAAGCAAGATTTTCTCCTCTTACCTCTGTTCTACATCTACTGAATAAATCACCGTTCTATGATGATTGGATCTAAGACCCACATATGCCTAGATCTTGGATCTCATTGATTTTTCTAATCAACTTTTTTTTATTTGACAAAGAGATTGGCTTGTAATGGTTTGGAAACTTTAATGCATTTGGTGCTGTGTCTGCTCCATAGCATGTGCTCAATAAACAGTAACTTTACAAAGAGACCACACTTCCCTGGCAGGGGAGATGCCATGGTCACAAAGAGATGAACTCCCAGGGCCCTGGGTTTTAGAGAGACACGGAAGCCCCTAGTAGGTCGGGGATTTCATTTGCTCCCAGCTTGGTTGAGGGATGGTATGCATAGCTGGGAGGTAGAGCCCCTTGGGAACTAAATCAGCAGTAAAGCCTCTGGACATTCAGCCCCTCTAGCCTCACGGCTCTGCTTCTGGATGTCACACATGTCCTGCTCATGCCTGTCCCTGTGCCCTGATCACCTTGCATGCTTTTCTATAGACTTTGTTCTATCTTCATGCTTATAAACTAGTGTAAAAACTTGCCTCCTCCGTCCCTCTGTCCTCTGGCCCTGCATCCCCTAAATTCTACCCTCATCATCTTTACTACTTTGTTTCATAAAATCCAAACTTTGGACCAGTGGGAGGGCTATCTCATTTTGGTGATGTCACTTCACACTGGTTAGGTGTCGCAGCAGACACATGTGTCTACTGCCTTGGAGCAGGAGTCACACCATGAAAAACGATAGCATTGCAAAGACACACTCCTCCGCTTTGGCTGCCTCATGAAGCATCCATGCCGTGTGCACTGCACAGGCGCCTACTCTGTACCACTCTCTGTATTCAGCTATGAGAATATCAGGGAAAGTGTTACAAGTTCTGCCTTCCCTACAGCAGGTCAGGGAATGGGGTATAACTGTCCATGGTGCAGAAGACAGACAGCTCCTACAGGAGTTGATGGAGGCAGGAGCCTCAGGGGGCTGGAGAATCCCTGTCCAAGATGGGTGAAGGGGAGGGCCGTGAGCATGCCTGGGGAAATCACACGATTTGGTTCAGAAGGTAGCAAGAGAGACCCTGACATTATAATAGATGTTCCTACTTTAGCCAAGACATCATCATCTGAAAACCTCAGAGCAAATCAATGCAGCTCGTAGAGAACCATGAGATGGGATGAATTCCTCCTATAATGCATTTTTCTCATTTCTTTCCTCCTTCCATGACTTGAGCCTTTTTTCTTTCCTCTTTTTTAAGGCTTGCTTTTCTCACAATGAGATGCACAGAGCACGGTATTCTGTACATGCTTACAACACGTGCACTGAGTACTAGAGTGGCTTGCAGGGTGGGCCACCTGTGTACTCTGACACTCTACCCCCACCCGTGCTGAGGTCCAGCCACAGTGTAGCCCCTGCCATGACTGCCCAGGGTCTGGGTGAGGGGCAAGGGGGAGCTGATGGAGTCTACTGCCTCTCAGGGCCTTCATGGCCTTATCCATAGCACACAGGACTCCACTTCTAGGAGTCCCTCCCACTCTGAACACGAGTAAAATTCTAGTCCTCCAGTCTGATAAGGACCCTGTTACCTAGAGTAGAGCCAGCAGTGGGACAAATGTCCTGACCAGGAAGATAGAGAGGAGAACCTACAGAGATCCTTTCCAGGCCCTCCGGGCTTCTCCCAGGAACCAGTGGGCCTTTAATCCCAAAGACCCACACTCCAAAGCTGAAGGCACACATAGCAATCCACACTTAGATCATGTGATGCAAGAGGAACAAGGCAGGCTGAGAAACAACCAGACAAGCCCAAAGTAAAGAGGGCAAGAAAGAGACAGCAAGAGAGGAGACAGACAGAAGCTCAGAAGGGAGGAGCTCATATGCAATTATGGCCTGGCTGGAGCCCAGTGCAACCCCTTCGAGGGAGGGCCCCATTAGAACAGGAACAACATCTCTTAATGAACAAGGGCAAGGGAGGAAACTGTGTGGAGAACAGAGGCTGATATTGGACTGTTAGTCCAGGAGAGAACAGAGGCCGAAGCCCTGAAGGAGGACACCCCATCCTGAATCCTGTGTTCTGAGAGCCAAGCCCTCTCCTGAAGACCCTGAATTGCACACCCCAGCCTGCAGCAGGCACAAGAATGGCACCTACACCTTCCGCCTCAGTGTGTGACTCCATCCCACCCCTGGATGCCAGCAGGTGCCTGCCTCAGGGAATTTTTAAAAAGGAGTCCTTTCTCTAATGTTTCACTCCCTGTTGTTCCTTTCATACCCACAAGGAGCTGAATCTTAAACTGGCTGTTGAATGAATGAACCAGTGAGGGAGCAGCCCTGAGATGCAGCAGGAGGGGGCAGAACAGCACCTTCTTCTTGCTGCAGTAGATCTGCCATTTCTTCTCAGGCGGCAGCGCAAACACGGCCTCCCGGTTCTTGTCTGTGAGGTCCAATTCATCCTGCCAAGAGAGGACAAGGCATGAACAGAACCCGGAGGGCTGCCATCAGAACACGCAGCCCCGTAGGAAATCACAGCTTCTCCAAACCCACCCCTTGGCCTCCTGCCTTCAGCCCAGACAGCATCACAGAGAGGAGACTCAAAAAAGTCAGTGAAGAAAACAGAATTAAAGTTGATCTTGGTGTAAAACATTTTGAAATCCATGCATGTTTTCTTTTGCATAATATGCATCTTTCCATGAGCTTTCTGGAGGTCTTTTTTCTTCTAGAAACTGAGCTGTTTCCTTGTTTCAGCTCAAACCCGACTCCCTGTGAACCCCAGCACCACCTTGTTTGCAAGTCTTCCTATTCAAGCCCCTCTGTCCCTTGGCAATCTCCTGCATTGCTTTGCCAGCCACTAATCCTTTCACCCAGATTTTCTTGTCTTCCTAAGTTGGCCACCATCACAAATCAAGACTTGGCAAGGAGAGGTATTACCTACATCTAGTCCTGCCTCTTCCTCAAATTCTTGTCCCATCAGTCAAGCCCACCTGTCCTTTGAGTCTGTCCCAGAAACTCCCTGGCTTTCCTTCTGCCACACACAGCAGCAGCAGCATGGGTCCAAGGGCAAACAGGGCAGCACAGGTGGACAAGGGACTGAGCAAAGCAGGAAGGTGTGCCATGCCAAAGCAGGTGATGAGCTGCTTCCCACAGGGTCAGTGCTTATCCCAGACAGTGCTCCATCTGCAGGGTCACGAAGATACGGCTGTGCACCCACACAAAAAGCTTCAGGCCCCACATTTTCTGAAGAGTGAAACTAAAGTCATTGCACTTGGAATGGCTCTACAGGTCATCTCGGATATTTTCATAGATTCAATTATACTGGCTGGTCCCTATAAAGCTAGCATCTTCAAGTTTACCCTACAGTCCGAGGTAAGGCCAAGGCTCATCAAGGCAATAATTGGAGCCTGGCAACATGCCCTAGTGGCTAAAGTCCTCGCCTTGAATGCACCGGGATCCCATATGGGCACTGGTTCTAATCCTGGCAGCTCCACTTCCCATCCAGCTCCCTGCTTGTGGCCTGGGAAAGCAGTCCAGGACGGCACAAAGCCTTGGGACCCTGCACCCCTGTGGGAGATCCAGAAGAGGTTCCTGGTTCCCGGCTTCAGGTCGACACAGCACCGGCTGTTCCGCTCACTTGGGGAGTGAATCATCGGACAGAAGATCTTCCTCTCTGTCTCTCCTCCTTGTCTGACTTTGTAATAAAAAATAAATAGATCTTTAAAAACAAAACAATAATTGACAAGCCAGGGACATAGTAGGCTATTCACTCAATACCTGTGCTTTTTCTAATAGCAAAAATCAAAGCTCTGATTAAGACTGCAAAGCATGCTATTAGTCTTTACATTTTCAAATATAATAAACAGTGAAATGTGGGCATTTGTATTCTTTCTGTAGAAATTCATTTAAGGAAATACATTTAAGATTTCTGTCCAAGTTGATCCAAACAGGGAAAAACACAAATGCAAGGAGAGTCGCATATATTTTAAAATTGTCCAGTGGCATGATGCAAGAAATAGGAGAGGTTAATTTTAATAAATGTTGCTTAAATGAATAGATCTAAAATAGGATAATTTCAACATGTAATCAAGATAAATGTCAATGAGGGGCCAGTGTAATGGTTCAACTGGCTGATCCTCCTCCTCCAAGCACTGTCATTTTATATTGGTGCCAGTTAATGTCCCAGCAGTTCTTCCCATTCAACTCCCTGCTTGTGGCCTGGGAAAGCAATAGAGGACGGCCCAAAGCCTTGGGACCCTGCAACTATGTGGGAGACCTGGAAGAAGCTCCCGACTCCTGGCTTTAGTTTGGCTCAGCTCCAGCCATTGCAGTCCTTTGGGGAGTGAATCAGCAGATGGAAGATCTTTCTATCTCTCCTTCTCTCTGTAAACCTGTCTTTCCGATAAAAATAAATGAATCTTTTTTTAAAAAAATAATCAGTGATCTATTTTCAATCTGTTTCAAACTGAATCTTCAAAAGCACAATATGAGGTTTCTATTTCTAGTTCACCCTGGTTCAGACAGCAAGTGGTCCTGGGAGGCCAGTGGCTGCCATTTGGATAGAAAATATGATGATCTGAAATAAACTCTGGTTCAGAGCCATGGCAACTTCAAGACTCCTGAAGATTTAATTCCTAAGCCCCACCCACCCGAAGGTCCTTGGTCTAATTCTTGCCTCCTCTATGAAGAGCAAGTCTTCTATCAACCTTGCCAGCTAAAAACTGTGCCTTCCTCAAGCACAGAGAACTTGCGGTCCATCTTGTACTCTACACCTGGGTTCCCTGGTCGGAGGTACCTACCTCTTCATTAATGGACACTCTCAGCAGCTTTCCTCAGCCTAGGACACATAGGGTGCTCCTCATTGTCCTTCCTCCATCTATCCTCTCTTCTTCAGGGAATCCAGCAGCCCAAATGTGGGTCAGTCCCTCCTCATCCCTCACAAAGTTCCCTCTTGGATGGCCTGGCTGATTCCTCTCCTCCCTCCTAATGCTGAAAGCCCCCTAGGCATCCCCCTGAGCATGCCTCTCTGCTCCCTCTATGCTCTACCCCAATGAAGCCTTCTGCGCTCTTCTCTTCATTTGTAAGAACCCAGGTACAAGACCCCCCAAATGCTCTCAAATTTATTCCCACCAGCTCTCCAAGCTCCACACCTTGGCCCCCACGCTGCCTCCTCCACCTCTTTGAATTCCTTCAAGTTCCTCAGACTGGTCTTTGATGCTACTCTGTGCCAGGCATTGTGCCAAGTACATAAGGGTTATCCATTTGTTTTTTAACTGGCAACCACCATTTTACAGATGAGCAAAATGATACATGGAGAGAGAATGCAAACTGAAGGCAGGATCCTAACCATCTCCAGTACATCCTGTTCTGCACAGACCTCAAAATCTACCCACTTCTTCATGCCAAAGACCTTGGTGTTCCTTGACTTTGACTCCTCCATCTACTCCACCAGCTTCATTATCTTTCCTCCTGAATAGCTCTTGGATCCACCCAATCCTCTCCCTCCCCACTGCTCACACTCTAGTTCAAGCCCCCATGTTCCCTGCCTTAGATTCCTTCAACTGTATCCTACAAGTAAATCCAAACCCTTTCTTCAACAGAACACCCTGAGTGTAGATCGTATCACTCCAACACCAGCTTCAGAATCTTCAGAGGTGTCTTGTTGCCTAATCTTCAAATCATTAGTCATTCTGGTCTTCATTATGTCTCCCAAGAGGATACAGCTTTTTCTGACTGGCAAGTGCATCCTATGCTGTGCCTTCCATGGGAACCCTGTGTCACAGTTTCGCACAGGCAATCTGACCTCACTCAGGGGAGACATCACTGTCCATGGAGGCCATCGTGTTCTCTCACCCAGAAGTTAGATCCCTTTGAGATGCTCCCACAATCCCATGAATGCTCCTTTTGTGACACTCATCACACTCCCGTTGCCCTGCAAGATCTCAGTCTTCCCCTTTAGTCTTGGAGTTCTGGAGGGCAGACACCTGCCTGGCACCTCCTCACAAGGACCTCAGGGCCTCTGTAAGGTCCAGCACACAGCAGACTCATCTCTCCAAAAGGTTTCCATTGGTTTGGGCAACACCTGACACTACCCCTTGGCAGATAAGATATTTGAGAAAGAACCATGCAAGAATCTTTTGCTTATAGAAGTTGATCAGAAAATGTTTGTGGAGTAATGAGCTGAAGAAAATAGCACCCTTCCTCACATCTGTCATCTCTTTTTGACTTTTCAAATCTCAATCCATTCAAGAAAATATCCCCAACTAACACCAATGAAGCTCCATGTGCTATTCTACATGAACAGCCACTGTTCCCCGACCTCCATCCCCTGGTCTCCTCTTGCAATGGGCCTATTATCTGGAGAGCTGGATCACCTTAACCAGATGCACCAATTAAGCAAAAGCACATTCCAAACCACATAGCACGACTTGTCCATTCATTTGACTACCTGTTCCACATGAGAATGAGTGAGTAAGAAGTGATGGCAGATGAACTGGAGCTAATAGTCCATGCCAAGATTGAGTTCTTGCCTCCTTAGTTTGGTGTGTGCAGGCCTTGTCTCACCCATTAGACCTCCAGAGCAAGAAATCATGATTCTTTCCTGCTGTTCCTGTGAGGTCAGAGCACAAAGCTCACACACTGGGGCTTCTTACAAAGCAGACAGATGCTCTAATCCAGATGGCCATCCCAAGGAAGCAGGAAGAGCTGATGATAGAGCTTCTGGCTGCCCCTGGCTAACCTTGGGGTAGAATCACTCAGACCAGTTACCAAAATGAGATGGGCATTTCCACCTCCACATTCTGAGTTACCACATCTGCCTGTGGAATTCCTCTTAACTTTTCTTCCTGCCTCCAAGATTATAACTATATACATACATACATACACATATACATATCCTCAGGAAAACTCCAAAAGACAGAAAAAGGCTTAAGTGTCAAGTGTTCTTGACACTCCTATATGTTTCTCACTCACTGCACAAAATCCTGGACCTGTCCCTTTCTGCAGTATCCTAATCACTGTACCACATGGTCTAGCATCCAATGAGTTAGCCATCCATTCTCCTGGTGACACAGTTCACTGTGTCTACCCCAGGGAGATTCACCTTGTTCCCTTGAACAACAAGGGCACTCAAGGGGCCCGCCTCCATCCAGAAAGGAGTTTTGAGAGCAGGAAACTCCAGCAAATGGGCTCCTGTCCTCCATCCATTCACCCTCTTCCCCTTGCCCACACCCTCCCTTCCCTGTCCCCATCACTGACCACGAGCTCTGCGAAGCGAACATTGAGCTCCTCAGGATTTGGAATGGGGCCGGAAAACTCGAGGAACTGCAGAGGGTGGTTGTCCCGGATGTTGATCTCAGGGAGGTCATTGCCCCCAAAGCAGCACAGGAAGCCCAGGCCATGGCGGCTCCTCTTGCGGGGGGCCATGGTCACTGCAGGCCAAGGGGTCAGCAGGCAGGTACCCTAGTTCCTCATGGTGATCTGGGCAGGAGAAGAGAGAGCACAGGATGTCAGGTGCAGTGGTCAGACAGGTGGGGACAGAGATCACTCTGCCTTCAAATCTCTGCTCCAGAGCAGCCGGAGTCCCTGCTCCATTGGAAGCCTCTGTCCTCTCTCCCAGCTCCTCCCACTTCGATGTATTGGCATGTCCTCCCTAGCAGACCCTATATACTATAGACACTATCATATTCCTCCTCTCTGTCCCAGAGAAGGGGGCTGATTACACAGGTTGTGTGTCCCAGCTGGTGAGAGCAGGTATTCCTCCTAGGCTCTCAACAGCAGCTGGGTGATGTTCTCTGTACTCTGGGTGAGCAGGCTCCAGCTGGGCACACTCACATGATTCACCCCAGGGTTGGGGATGGCCTCTTCAAAGGCAGCATCCAATAAGGAGTGGAGTGTTAAAGTAGGCTGGCAGAGAAATACCAAGCTGATCACATGATATAGCCCCTGGCACAAGCAGGTGCTCCAGGAGGGATTGGGAATGGAAGCCTTTGGGGAATGGCACAGGTATCTCCCCGTAATGCTAAACCCAGGCACATGCAGATGTATGCCAAATAGCCACAAGGAGATAGCTCTCCCATCTACCAGAGGAGACCACATGCCTTCAGAGAGGTCACGGGAACAGTTGTGAAAGCAAACCCTGTCAGAGGAAATGAGCTGACACTATCATGGTCTTCAACATCTCATGGGAAATCTGCTTAGAGCCACTTTTTTTTGTATTAAAACAAAGAATAGAGATGCTGCTTTTGGTAGAAACTGGAATGACCCTGTATCTACTAGTTGGTGGTGCTTGGGAGAGAAAGGCTTAAGCCTTTGGCCTGTCCCTGGTAAAGCCTTGTTCAGTGATGACCAGCCACAGGAGGAAGTCTGGCACCAGTTCAGGGGGCCACCCAGTCTCCTGATCAAGTGAGTTTAATTCAGCACACAGGTGTCTGGAGGGCCAGAGCTCTTCTTGAACAAGGGTTCCTAGATGTGCTTTCAGACAACTCAGTGTGTTAAACAGAGATCCTGACTCACACAACGAACTCTGACCAGCCACATTCATCCCATCCCAGGCTGAGACCATCCTTGGACACAATTTATGGAACTCTTTTGTTACCCTTGGTGAATGTTGTGGTTTGGGAACTCAAGAAATTTGAGTCTTGAGTTATAGTTGTTTATGCTGAATACAGACCATGCACAGAGTAGGTCTCCATTGGTCATCACCCACAGCATTGCTGGACATGTTGCTTCCGACAAGCACACAGACTTCAAGGACACAGTGGCCCTGGCTTGGACACCAGAAACTTCCTCTCCAATACTCTCAGAGGACAGTCTGTCAACTAGCATTAAATCCATGCAAAAATGCTGTAATCCAGCCCCATTTTCTGTTATTTATGCATTTTCTATTATATATATACATACATTATATGTATGTATATACACACATACACACATGTATATATACATATATATACATATATATACACGCACACATTAGTTTTTAGATTGCTGTTGTTGCAAAATAATGAGACAGGCAGAGATATGGAGAAAGTGAGAGCTTCCATCTGCTGTTTCATTCCCCAGATACTAACTATCAGGGCTGGGCTGGGCCAGTCCAAAGCCAGGAGACAGGAACTCAATCCAAGTCTCTTACATTGAGGGTAGAGACCTGACTACTTAAGCCACCATCTACTTTTAGGGTCTCCATTACTAAGAAGTTGGGCATCTGGAGCCAGAGCTGGGGAATGAAACCCAGACAACCCTAATGGGGGGTGGGGGCAAGGGTCTTTTAACTGCTAGGCTAAATGCCAGCTGCATAGACATTTTGTAAAGACAATGTAAGGAGAAGGGAAGATGGCCGACGTAGGAGAAAGGCTATGAGGGAGAGTTCAGTGAGAGAAGGTTAGAGTGCTGCAGAGACAGCGAAGAGGAGCGGCAGGAAACCGTAGGGAGAGGTCCGTGAAACTCCCTGGGACAGTGTGGAGCCAAAAAGTTCCACACAACTCGGAAGAACAACGAGAACGGAGCAGGGCAAAGGTAGAGAAGCCGACATCCCACTCCAGACCTGCTGAGTCACCTTTGAGAGCGGCCTGACGGGAGACGCGGCCAGCTTGGAGACAGGGAAATCGGAGGGATCGTCGCCGGCGGAATTCTTCAACAACAGCAGAAGCAGACTGCAGCAGCCGGACTTTGGTGAGCTGGGGATTAACGTGGCAGCCTCCGCATTCCCCACCCCCTGCTGAGGCTCCAGCCTCTGAGAACACAAGGGGCGCAACCTGAAACTGTCAGGTCTGTGCCTTGGGAACAGCGGTGCGTGTTGGTGGCTGAAAAGGTCCCGGGAAAGCGCCTCAGATCTTCCTGCGCTAAGTGGGCCAGTGCATCTCAGCGCGCGGAGGCTGCTGGTGGGAGTCTGGAATCCCCGACACCCTGAAACCCTGTGGGTGGGCGACAGCACCAGGAGGACTCTGAGCGCCGCGCCGGGCTGGGCTAGGCGGTCCCGCCTGCAGCAGCCGCCTCCGTAGCGCAGGAGTCAGGAGGGTGCTGAACTGGGAAGTGTAGCGCTGTGTGTCCCTGACACGCAGATGCCACTCCCATAGTGTGAACTGTCCATTCCTCGCCTCCCACCCCGCAGTCCTGAGTGTAGGCGACACACCGGGAGAGCTCTGAAATCTCCTGTGCCACACTGGCACTGTGCGATCCCGCTGAGAAGTTATTTTAACAGGGCGCCTGGGTCACACCTCCTCTACGGTCCTGTGAGGAGGAGCCACACACACACCACGAGTGGTGGAATCACTGCACAAGAGCCACGCCCAGAAAGTGCCTCAACCACAGTCTTGTGTGTGGGAGACACACCAGGCGGGCTCTGAAAAACCCTGCAGTCCCTGACAAGGAGAACGCAGGGAGAAAGCACATAAAACCTTCTACGTCCTGTGGATTCCCGTGCAGGGGGCGCGCCCAGAGAGCGCCTCCATCCCTCCACGCCCTGCGGTGGCACACCTGTAGAAGAGGTGCCCAGAGTGTGCCTGGAATCCACTGGGCCCCCAAGGTGGTGCTCTACAGCCCCGGGCCCTGAGAACGCACCAACGGTGCCTTGAAAATTACCACGCCCGGCAACACCACGCTTGCAGGCTCCAATCTCTACAGGAAAGCACCTGACAGCCCCTCAACACACGGGTCCATTTGCCTTACCAGAATACACCAACGCAATGGGAAAAACCACTAGAAAGAGCTGTGCTCCAGATGAAAGAGCCAGCACCCCACCAAACATGGGCCAAAAGCCATTATCAATATCGGCGATGCGAGATGAAGACATGGACGTGTTACCAGCAAAGGAATTGATGAAAATAATGCTAAAATTTCTCAGAGACGTGGACACAAAGCTGGAAGACTACCAGAACCGCATAATCACCGAAATACAACAAATCAAAACCAAACTGGATGCCCAAGAGAATAAAATTGAAAGCCTCATCAACAGAATAAATGCGGCAGAGGAAAGGATCTCTGAAACAGAAGACACACAAAATGAAAGTGCCCAGCGAATTAAACAGCTAGAGACAAACCTCAGCAAAACTAATAAAATGATGCAAGAGATGAAGGATTACCTTAGAAAATTGAATATTCGGATCATCGGCCTCCCCGAGGGAGTAGAAAGAGAATCTGGGATGCAAGCAGTGCTTGATGAAATTATACAGGAAAACTTCCAAAACACTTGGAACACGAATCCACCCCGCATACAGGATGGACAGAGAACTCCCAACAGACATGATCCAAAGAGATCTTCACCCAGACACACGGTGCTCAAGTTCTACTCCAATGAAGACAAAGAAGGAATCCTGAGACAAGTACGAAGTAGAGAAAAGATCACATACAGGGGAAAACCCATCAGAATTACTGCTGACTTCTCCGAAGAGACCCTACAAGCAAGGAGAGAATGGACAAAGATCTTCCAAGTCCTGAAACAAAACAACTGTCAACCAAAAATAATCTACCCAGCAAAGATCTCATTTGTATTTGAGAACGAAATCAGATACTTCAATAGCAAAGAAAAACTAGAAGAATATGTCTACACAAAACCAGCCCTGCAAAGTCTCCTTAGAAATGCGCTAGTCCCGGACAAAAAGGAGGCAAATCACAAACAAAGTTGGCAAATAAGAAGGTCTCCAAACTAAAGGCCGCACAAACAAGACAACTACATAGGCAACAACACATACACAACACAAACACATGGCAGGGCAAAATTGCAACCTCTCAATTTTAACTCTCAACACAAATGGTCTAAATTCACCAATCAAAAGACAGAGATTAATAGAATGGATCATCAAACAAGACCCAACCATCTGTTGCCTACAAGAAACGCATCTAACCAGAAAGGATGCAAAGAAACTGAAAGTGAAGGGATGGAAAAAGATATTTCACGCTAATGGACGAGAAAAAAAAGCTGGGGTAGCTATCCTAATTTCAGACGAGATAGATTTCATTCTAACTAACATCAAAAGAGACAGGGAAGGCCATTTTATACTGGTGAAAGGAATGATCCATCAAGAAGCAATCACCATCATTAATGTTTATGCACCGAATCTTAATGCACCTAGTTACGTAAAGCAATTACTTACAGACTTAAGGGAAGACATAGACACCCGCACAATTCTTGTAGGCGATCTCAACACACCTCTAACAACAATGGACCGGTCTACGAAACAAAAACTCAACAAAGAAACAACAGAGCTCACACAAACAATAGAACAACTGGACTTAGTAGACATATATAGAACTTTTTATCCTAAGGCCACAGACTATACATTCTTCTCAGCGGTGCATGGCACCTTCTCCAGAATCGACCACATGATAGGACATAAAGCGAATCTAAACAACTTCCAAAACATTAGTATCATACCATGTACCCTCTCAGACCACCATGGGATGAAACTGGAAATCAACAACTCAAA